CATTCGATGGTGAACTTGAACTTGATCTAGGGGTCAAATTTAGAGGTCAAGTCAAGGTTAATTTTAAAATCGTAAATGGGAATCCCCATTTTTTATTACGTCATCCTTTTCTACCAATTAATTTGAACGACTTTTGTCTGAAATTAAAGATTACATTCACGTCGAGTCGATATATAAATAATCGACTTACATCGAGTGCGAAACAGGTTGGACTAAATTGTCGACATCTATGTGATATCTTCCAGATGCGCGACGGAATGTTGAAAATATCAGACCGATCGTTGCTTTCCGCACGATTTCAGCTTGACTCCGGCATAATTTCGAGCGGACTCTGTCGACTTGTCGAGCCGACTTGAGTGCCATTCGTAATGAACGGAGCGACGCTCCGCCGTTAATTGGATGCCCGACTTCTCGGATGCGTTCTTCTCGCACAAAAGCGGTTATTAAAACACTTCGTTCTCTATTACGTAACGCTGAATTATCGCGTGTCCGTCTCGAAGTCTTACATCCGTCAGGCGGCCGACGACAAATTCACTGCGCGCGCGACGGGCGCGTTTTTCTTCGTACGTGACAGCACAAAAGGTGCAGCAACATTGCTGCAATATTGCAACATTGTTGCAACGCTGCAGCAACTTTCTGTGCAATATGGGGTCGCACGCCATACTTGATTGGTTTTCACGAGGGAGCATTGCCGCTCTTTTTCCGCAAAGCTTATGCCGCATTTGTTGCACAGAATTGCGCAAGTGTCTTCGCGCGATGGAAAGAAGAAAGTACGTGGGGAAATGAATTGAAATAAAATTATATTACCTAATTTAGATTAAATGAAACTTTATATACAAAAAGAGTTTTATGTGTGTCAGGTTCTCTAAAAATGACGAATCGAAGCAGCACACATTTATATAAGACGTGAAAGTACAAAACGTACAAAAGGAGTAGCCAGCATTTCTGAGACCCGTCGTCCACTTTGGCGCTCTTTCGACGCGACATTGAAGCGGGTGGAGACGAAGGAAGAGAGTCAGCGACGCGCAGAGACGCTTTCTTCGGCCGCGACGTCTTGTCTCGAAGGTGAAGTCGGCGCGAATGCGGTCGGAAAATCTCTCCCATCGAGTGTGCTGAAACGGAGCTTCGCGGAAATTGCGGATTCTGGCTGTTTACCGATCCTGCCGCGCATATTTTTGCCGTCTCTCTTGAAAATTCAAGGCCTCCCCGCGTTAATTGCGGCAGACAGCCGATTTTCTCCCCTCGTCTTCCCGACCTCTCTCTCTCTCTCTCTCTCTCTCTCTCTCTCTCTCTCTCTCTCTCTCTCTCTCTCTCGCTCGCTCGCTCCCGTGTCTTTCACTCTCAAGTCCGTCGGTCGCATCGAAAAGATCAAGGACACGGCGCGAAATTGCGCGAGATCTGAGTCGCGCAACCTTCGGGCGACCCCCGCGAATGGCATTATATGCGCCGCACGCGCCAGTTAGTCCTGAAGAACACTCGCTGGACAGCGTGAATGAAGCGATTATTCGGGTTGCGGCTACGCCTACGCCCGATCCTTACATAATCAGACGTGTAACGTAATAACACGACGCGTAACAGCCTTTTTGCGACGGATTATCGTTAACGTGCCCCGTAAGGCGGGGTTATTGCGCCGGGGATGATTTCCTGCCGGCCTTGACGAGAAACATGAGATCACGCGATCGCAGTTGTCTCCGACATATTTCCATTTCTTTTCCTTCACTTTGCTCGTCCGTTCGGTGGACACGAGTCGGGGGCGAACTTGCGAAAACCACCCTTGCCGCGTCCTGTCGTCTCATGAATTTCGATGGAAATACCTCGAATGATTTCAAATCAACGCCCTTAGATGGACTTTAATTTTAATTTAATTTCTTTTTGTCGAACGTTTCCTTAGATGAATAGAACCCCCTTAGATGGATTTTAATTTTAACGTAATTTCTTTTGTCGAACTTTTCCTGAGTTGCGAATTTTCGATAAGACACGTTTATTGCAAGTTCAAAATTTTTAAATACTAAAAGGAAGGCTCAAGAAGGGACTAAAAAGAACCAAAAGAACTAAAAAACTAAAAAGAGCTAAAAGAACTAAAGAAGCTAGAAGAACTAAAGAAGCTAGAAGAACTAAAAATTAAAAAAACCAAAAAACTAGAAAGAAGGCCCAAACGTATTTTTCTTACTTGCCTTACTTGTGACACTTATCACCGTTTTTTGCGATGCTTCCGGTTGTTTACGATCGTGTACAATAATTAATGAAGCAAAACAACATTCCGACGTATTGTAGGCTCTATTAAATTTATTTTCATCTGTTATTCGTTTATTATGAAAGATATACGATTAAAGTAATTATAATTATATAATCCTACGTGTGTATATTCATATATATTAATATATAAATAAGTATATGTATATGTTTATATATATAATAAATAATTTCTTTTCACGTCATTATAAATTATAAATAATTCATGTATAGTATAATAATAATTACCGTAATTATTATTAACTACTTTTATATATAATATAACAACAATTATTATAAATTATAAATAATTATTGTCAATAATATTAATATTATTATTTATGCATGTAATTATTTTATATGTATAATAAATACGATAAATATAATTTTCCTCACTGAAAGGTGAAAAGTATTCTTACGCATGCAATCGCGGCGATCCCGACGCGCTGCACTTACGAAAACGCAGCTTTCGAAAATTTTATTTGCGACGCGTACGTGTCGATCGATTTCGTGCGGAGAGATCTCTTACACGAAACTGCCCACATATGTGCGACACGCGCGATTACGAATCCACGGGGTGTGTCCTGTTGTTACGTGACGGGACTTCGACGTGCCTCGTTGCGCGTGCATCCGTTGGTTGCGCTCGAATTCTCTCCTCTTGTTGGCATAAAAGCGAAAAAGCCGAGGACACGGTTCTATCGAGGTCTGTGCGTTAAACGCGGTCCTCGGCCCGCGACAGCACGCCCGATACAATAAACACGGCGATAACAATGCTATTATGACGTGTGTGCATTATTATAATACCGCATCGATTGCTCGATGTGTCCCGCCACACGCAGAAAAATTATTCGTTATTAGTCGCGGATGTTTCTATTTTTATTTCTCTTTTCATATTAACTTTTTAACTCAGCGTGTCTCCTCCGTATCAGTTCGCGAACACAATCGTGCGTTGTAACAATAGGCGTCGCGTGTTACCACCATCTGACAGCCGTCCGAAGCAGTTGCGAGTTAAAAAAAAAAGATTGTAAAAAAGTTATTCCATGTCAGATATGCAGTTTATGAATAAATCAGTAAATCCCTCGATAAAGCGTCCGATTATTAATTCAATCGTTAATACATCATTGTTGTTATCACAAAATCGTCATAAATATTTAGTAATATTATTCGTATGATAATCGTGTCGGTATATTTTAACAAGTGTCTCTGGTTCTGTTCATTACGTACGTATGTTTAAACATTTTTTTAGGAATTTTCATCTCATTTATTTTATTGTTATTTAAAAAATTTTTATTTTTAGAATCGTTAAAAAATGTCTTTTAATAATAAAACTATTATGCTAATAAAGTATTAATAGCGTAATAGAATTTTATATTTTAATAACATTTTTATACTTCAAATAATCATATACAAAGTGTCCCAAAAGTCCCGGCCAAATATCTCAGAAATAAAGATATTTTAGAAAAAAAATTTCACAAAAGTTGTAAAATTTCAAATGCATTACGGAACAATATTGATGATATTGATATTGATTGACCTTTAATAATGTTGTCAAGATTATGTAAAGGTCACTGAAATTTTTCAATGAAAACTGCCGTTTTTATTATATCATTCTTTTCTACCAATTAATTTGAACGATTTTTGTCTAAAACATTTTTTTATCTGCTTAATATTTCTGGAGATATTCAAAGAAAACTTGGTAACTTTTTCAATATTTGGCTTACGGTAACTATTTGTTGGAAGAAAAATTAGACTTTTTTACTCTATCTAGTCTCAAGGATATATTGTTACAATAGTGCTCTAACTTTTGTTAACTTGATGATTTTGGAATTTCCAAAAGTCATCCAATTTATCATCAAAATTTTACAATTTTTGTATGAAACATTTTTCTCCAAAATGTTTTATTTTCGAAATATTCAGACGTTCAAGGATCTTTGGGACACTCTGTATATATATGAATGTCTGGCTATTGAAACACTTACCTTGCGTAATATGATCATTTGTAGATCCACATTATTACGTAAAAAATTGCAGTCATATGATTACATATTACACACGTTCGTCCAGGGGGCTCGACTCTGCTCCCTGGTTTACGCGATTCCGTTTCATGTCGGATCGATTTGAACGGGTCGCTTGAAATAATACGTTGATGCAACGCTCCAGTTTCGCGCGTCATCGACAATTCCTTCGAGATAGACGTGCACATTGTACCATTGACAACGACGCAGTCGCCCACGCGCCAACCTAAAGCTCCGTTTGCACCACCGGACAAAAGAATACTCTTCTAATTTTGTAACTCAGCGTTACCCGGCGTTACTTCCTCCTAAACATCGAAATCCTCTCAAAATGTACCCAAGTAGTCCGTTTCTCGAGTTCGGCGCAAGACGAAGATAACCTTAACGGACTATTGCAAGGATGATTTTCTCAAATTTCCGATCCAATCAATCGACAGTCCATTCGGCGAGCAGAGCTGTCAACGTGGACAATAAGGAGACCAAGTTTATTGTTCAAACGAGTGAGAAATTCTCATACCAACCCAACTTTCTCCTAATCTAAACTTATAACTGCCATAAGTCGAGTATTCTTCACCATATTATCGTCGAACCGCTGGCGATTCTGCCGGTAAATCGTCGATCAGATTAATCACACTTTCAAGTGAGTTCCTTCAGAGTCTCCGTAGAATCCTGGCGCAACGTCCTATCCTACCCTGAAGACCTCATGTCTTTCCTCGGTGAATGGGGGGTCCAATTGAGTAAGAAGAACACAGTGCGCTGCTTTTAAGCGGTTTTATTGATCCTGAGTCTCATGAATGCGAATGCGGATTATTCGAACGGCTGAAGAGGGGTCCGGGAGGAGCGGGGGAGGGAGGTTTGGTGGGCACGGGGGAGGATGAAGAGGCTGAGACGCGAGGCTGATGTCCGATGATCGGTGGAGGGAATCTCCCGCGGCCCGCGTGCTAGATCGATCGATTGGTGGGCTGATGGTCCTACGAGGTTGGTCCTGATGGTCGGTCCCAGCTTGCCGGTCAGTTCTTAGGCGATGTAGGCCGCGTAGCTCTTGTACGCGTACGGCAAGGCCGGGTACGCCGAGTACGCGCTGTAAGTCGGCAGGCTGTAGGCGCTGTAGGCCAACGGCGCGGAGACGAAGGGCGCGCTGTAGGACGTGACCAACGGGGCGCCGATGATCGCACCCGGAGCGGGCGCTGGTGCGGGCGCGGGCGCAGCCGCGGCGAGTGCCAGGAAGGCGAGGAAGCAAAGCTGCGGCAGAAGAATGCTCGACGTGAGAGATCCTCGTAGTGCGGCGCTCGGTGGGCATCGACGGTAAAATACAGGTAGGGTTACGCAAAAACTACCTGACCTAACCTAACCCTAACTTAAACTGATATAATCCTAACCTAATCTAACCTCAGCTTGACCTAACCTGCAATCGCAGCTGCTCCATTCTTTAATTTCAAACGTTTGCGCTCTGAAAAAACCGGATGGCTTACCTGGGAATGTATAATATAATATTCGTGAAAAATTGGAAGATTCTTTTTCACGAGTAAAATCCTTTTGAAATTGCGAGCAATACAGTGTTCGAAATTCTTTTCCTCCAAGTTGCACTAGTGGATTTTGGAAAATTCAAATGGTAACCGATTTTTGGGTCACCCTAGGTATAGATATGTATAAAATGATCGATGATTCGCCGTTTTTCGGATCTGAATTGTTTTTCTGAAATTTTTCTTCCCAATTGGTTCGTGGAAATTCCTTTACTTTGTGACAATATCACGTAGTTTGCATTTATCCCAAAAAAGTATTTAAATGATGCGACAACAAATTTATACATTTTATAATTTTTGGGTTTTCGCGGAGGTATTCTCGCGTACCGTATAAGTACCGTATAGGTGAACATAGGAAACGCAAGTTTCTTCGCGCGAAAAAAGAAATACGAACCGATTTCTTCATTTGCAGAGAGAGAAATAGATAAATAAATATAAAAATAGATGAGTGTTAATGACAGATAGATAGATATATAGATAGAGTATAAAGTATAAAATAACTGAACAAGGCATAAAGAAGATACAAAAGTACATTTTTTTAAATAATGCGAAACTGTGAAAGGATAGGTATTCACATGCACGCGGAGAAACGGACAGGAAGACAAAAGACAGAGACGGAGAAGAAAATTTTAAGACCACCCGCGCCTAAAAATTTAATACCAGAAATTTAATGCCAAAATAACATTCAAATAATTAAGTACAAAATATCACCATTGATATTACACTATTTTCCCAGATATTTATTTATGAATTGTGATTATATGTTTACACGATGAGAAACGAATACAACGAATACTTGTTCTAATCTAACCTAATCTAACTTTTGAGGTATAAAAAATATCCTAGGCGATTAATTACACAAAGAAAAAAATTAGGTGACTGGAATAAACAAACGTATACGTAGACTTGTCTTGGAAAAAATAGTGAAAAATTACCGGCAATATGTAATGTTATTTAAAAGTTTTTAGCATTAAACTTCCTAGTCGGTAAAAATGTACTCAAGGGCACTCGTTCGAGATCATTTGAAATATCTTCACAAAAATTCATGGCAACGCAAGGAGTACTTTTCGAAAGTTCACCCCTGATAGGTACGCAGATATTAATAGATCGATAAACGTTATTCAATCCTGAAAGGTAAAACCCCTTCAGCGGCACACAGTAGTAAGGCTGCAGGATACAATGGCTGATGGGTGAAGCGTTAATATAAGGTATAGAAAGACGTACAAGAAGAGAGGAAGAAAACAGCGCTCAAATAAAGCGAAAAAGTAGCGAAAAATCTGATGACCGTGCATGAGAGAGGTAAATTCCATGCCAAGGTAAATTCCGGACTCGTTAGAAGTCTCGTTCAACTTACCAGCTTGAACATGTTGTAGCTCGTGTGTCCGTCTGGCTTGAAGTCAGTACGATAATACTCCAAAATACGACGTGGCACGTCTTATATAGGAGTAAGGAATCCTGGCCCCGGGTACCGAGTCTCCTTACCTCCACCTCTCTCCCTCGGTCCCCCCTTTTGCACCTTCTTAGAGCACCTTCGTGGAGGGCGTCGCCTTGTCTCGAACGGAAAACGAACGCGCGCGCTAGGCGATTTCTTCTTTTTCCGTTTCTTTCCTGGACGGCCGCCGACCAATGGAGCTTTGTTGCGACGTGTAGTGCCGTGCATTAACACACGGAGTAGGGAAGGGCGTGATGATCCCTCAAGGTCGGCCGTGGTGGCCAGGCGTGGTCCGACTACTCTCCTTTTCTGCCACAGACGTCGACGCGCCGCGAGTCGAAGCCGCGAAAGCTCCTCGACGCATTGTGCGTTGCAAAAAAGAAGAAGAACAGAAAAAAAGAGAGAAAGGGACTTGAGCCACGCGTTCCCCTGACTGACTCTCAAAAAGAAACATATTTACTCACGAATGGGAAGAAATATCAAATGTTTCATATTTCGCTGTAAATGGCAAGAAAACAGGAAATACGTTAAATTCTGTGCATTTCGGGAGCCACATAAGTCTATGGTGTTTCTTTGAGAGAGACAAATTAGAGAGACATTAATCTGTCTTTGTAAGGAAGACAATTAACAAATCGAACACATATGATCTGTTGATGAAGACTCGCGTCGGCCGAGTGCTCGTGCGTCTCTCTGAAAAGAAGAAGAGAAACAAGAAGAAAAAGAAGAAGAAGAAGAAGAAGAAGAAGAAATGCAGTGGTCTCAAATCGCGCTCCGCTCAAGGTTGAGCTCCAATTTGCGATTTGTCGCGTGATTCGGGCTTAACGACCGATCGTGAAAAATCCGAAAATGACGGAGGCGGTCGTCAATTATTCGCGGCAATCGGCGACGATTTTTGCGACCGACGAGAATTTAATCACGCACCCGATCGGCGATCGCGCCTTGAACTCGTGGGCGTTTATTCGCGACGCTTATACCTGGCTGCAGAACTTTTTGCAACCGCGAGAGCAACAAGTGCGCGTATAGGCACCCTTGAGAGAGAGAGAGAGAGAGAAAGAGAGAGAGAGAGAGAGGTTGTAAAATTAAAATAATAATTGCACGTAATAACGGACTGCGTCTCTCGTTAAGTAACGCATATATGGAAGTCTACTTACCATCAGCTATCTTCGCGGTGCTGCATTGCGCAGCGCTGCACATTGTCCGTTCGTTGCATTCGCAGCAGGATCAACAGGAATGAGGAGGATCACGCGACATGTCCCGTCGTCAGCTGTTATTCAGATAAAATTACATAGATGATAATCCCGATAAAATTATGACACACCGACTTATCTCTCTCTCTCTCTCTCTCTCTCTCTCTCTCTCTCTCTCTCTCTCTCTCTCTCTCTCTCTCTTTCTCTCTCTCTCTCTCTCTCTCTCTCTCTCTCTCTCTCTCTCTCTCTCTCTCTCTCTAGATAATATAAATATACAGGGTGTTTAAAAAAGGGTGGGCTATACCAATGTGGTTGTATTCTTCTCATAGAGATAAAACAAAGTTCCCATAAACAAAGTCCCTATAGTGTCTAAAACTTAGTAGCTTAGTTAAAAAGTTAATGTCCAGCGAACAATTGTTTGCTCACAGGTAAAAATCAAGAACGGATTTGCTAATTTAAATAAATGTTATTGTATCAAAACTTGTATTAAGAACATATTTTAGGATCATAAGAGTCCCTCGAGTAAGAAGAAAGGATACGATTGTCGTGCTTATTAATCGAGACAATTCATCTTAATTCGTTGTACGCAGTTGATTATGTTTCACGCTTAAATTAATGACATACAACGTAGCGTTCAATGTGTTTAAAAAGTTACTCAGAAGTCAGGGAGTTTTGATGTCGCTTCGCGTTCTTAACTTTGTTAAGGAATTTCCGGTTACACGAGACTGTGCACACCTGATCTCACAGCGGCTTCAACACTTTTGTACTCAGTGCTCGGAACGCAGCCGATGGCCTCCAATGACAAAAGTAAACTTCTGGGAACTGATGAAAACACGTTCTCACAAACGGGTCTCAAGCGATCCGTTTTGAAAGCAGGTGTATGTACGTGCGTACGCCTATGCGTCGCCGCCACGTCGATTCGATCGTTCCTGAAGTGCGAGCTTCGCTCGACGAAGGACGTTCGTCCGTCGAACGTTCACCTATGAACTTCAAACTTATTGGGCTGCAATCGCGTCTGCCGTCTGACGAGCGCATTTCGGGGTAAACAGCCCTCCGCTGTGGCGAGATCGCTTGTGCCGCGAGCGCGATAAAGACGTAGGTCCTGAAACCGACTGTCATTAAGCATCTCCCGATAATCTAGGTACCTCATCTTTATCTTTCCGTCCACACACACACACACACACACACACACACACACACACAAACAGACAGGGAGGCAGGTTGCCAGAGAGAATGTCCAATAGGATTATCAAATATGTTAGCGTATGTCTGATAACTCAGGAATAAAAAAGATTTAACAACTGGTTTTTTTCCGATATATATGACAAGTATATTTTTAATAAATAATACAATATATATAATTAATTAAGCACGGCATATTCAGCAACTAGTACGTTTAAGGGCCCGTGCGAGTATACTGGTGTACTTGTATGGTTTCGTATACTTATTGTTGTATGTTTGTGACGTTGCACAAGTTTTACCTAACCTAGATACCCCATTTTTATCTTTTCACTCGCACACACACACACATGCACAAGCAGAGACAGGTAGGCCGATTGCCAGCGAAGAAATGTCCAATAGAGTTATTAAATACGCTGGTATATCTGATAACTTGGGAATTAGCATATTTAATAACTAATTTATCTAATATATAACAAATATATTTTTAATAAATAATATGATATATGGTGTATTTAATCAACTATGACATATTCAGCAACTAGTATGTTCAAGAAGTGTATTTAAAGGCCCGCACAAGTATACTAGTATACTTGTATGGTTTTATATGTTCGCAGTATTGTACAAGTTACTGGTAGTATACTTAAGGGATTATCGTTCCTGTTTGGTTCGTTCTCCTGGATCCGTCAAAGATCTAAAAGAATACTCCAATCATAGGTAATAATCACTAAGCGCTTAGTAAGCAGCTTTTTTCTGCTGAGCGCGGTCATTTAATATAACATTACATTATAACGCAGCCAACTACTAACTCACCGTCAACCGTCTGTACTCCAGTTGATCATTCCTCTTGCCGATGCGCACCGTGAAAGCGATGAGCACTACTCGAGGATTACGTAAAAGCGACGAGCGGTCCGACGGACGGCAGACACGCATAATGACGAATAAAACTGTTGCATTTCACGACAGCCCCATTCGCCCGGCCGCAGCACTCGCCGGGGGGAATCCGAACGATCGTTTACCCTTGGTATTTGAACGTCACGACGGGCAATAATTCGCCTTCAGTCCTATCGTCGCGGGCTTGTCACGCAAAACCGCCGTCCCGCTCCATTTCCCGCCGACAGTTACGATCGCCTGGCTTTTCCTTTAATTCGGTTTTCCTCCCTGGATACTAATCCACCTTTAACTTCGCCTTCCTTCACCTTGTCCTATAAACGGTGGTCAAAGACGTCATGCGAAGATTATTCCTCCGGATCGAGGCAAATTGTGTTAGCTCGCCTTCGCGGCGAAAACACTGTATGTGACGGACTGTTAAGAAGAATTGTTTAATGCGTCGCAAAAATTAGAAATTCTCAATTTTTCGCCGGAGTGAAAGTCCTGTGGGATCATTGCGGGATCTTCTCCCTCGTAAGTTTCTACCAGTCTCCCCCTTTCCGAGAGAGATCGTTCCTTGCCCCTCAGGATTCAAAATACTTTACGGGGGCGGAGCGATTCCCAGAATCCCAGAATATTTTCAACTTTGTGGAATAAAGAGCTGACTATCTCTATTTTTATTTGCCTTCGTTTCTCTCGGAACTCACAGTCAGTGTCGAGTGTCGAGTTTTCGAGATTAAGAGCGGGCAAAGGTCAATCGGTGACCGTCTGGGTGCCGATTTATTGTGTCAGCAACATTAATGCGTTAGGAATAAAACTTTATTCCTTAAGTTGTCATTATATACACTTGATTCCTTGATTTACCGTTATCTTATTTTTGCTTGTGATTTTCCATATTTGTTTTTGAAAACGTCCAATTTTAACCCTTAAGCACTAGGGTGTTGATACCTGCTGTTATCAGGACATGCGAATTTTTACGTATAATTTTTCTTATTATTTTTTTATAAAATTATAAAGATTTTTGAACATTATAAATCCTAGCAGGACACCGCCGTGCTGCTCTTTAGTGGCAGAAGTTAAAAAATATTATCGGGTGAATTTTCAACCATCTTAGAGGTTAGGGGTTAATCTCGATGCTGAAATGGTGTAAAATCATCGAGGGATCTCTCCTCCGCAAGTGTCTCTCTCCGCGACATCCCTTTCGAGACGAATTGTCCTCTATTCTGTTTCCAAATATTCCGGATCAACTACAAACTTCCCAGATCAGACATTTATAATTTCACGGAATAAACTGGCCGTCGATCGTTTGTAGCCTTTTCCATTTTCCTCAGAGCCTGTCGAACGGTATCGCGTATCAAGTTTTCGCAAACCAGAGGCGAAAGGTCAATCGCTAACTACCTGGCTATACACTCTGCCTCCCTCCCTGGCCTCCTGTCTCACTGTCGGCCACAAAAGATTACAAAAGTCAAAGGCAAGCCGCGATGCAAAGTGTTCGACATTTCGTTTTTTCCGTCGGCCGAGCGATCTCGCTCTTCTCCGCGATTCTGCCGTCAGCGCCACCGTCGATGGACAAAAAAAGCCGGCGAAAACACGTCCCATGTCTAATTACGCCCTCGGTGCGAATTAGCGCGGGCGAAGGCGACTCCTCGCATCGAGATCGGCGCAGACGGATCTTTCCGGCGATCTCGAGGCGGACACGGCGATCTCGAAGCGGCGCGGCGTTCCGCGCGGACAGACTCGGCGAACTTGAACTTGAGAAAAAATATATGCGGCCGTCGCCTTGAAGAGTTCCTCTGTCGGCGATGAGATCCGGTTGAGTGAGAGAACAAGAGGGAAGGGGAGGGGAGGGAGGGAGAGGCGGCCACGCCGAAAGAGGAGCGAGACAGTATCGAGAAAATTGTATTAGCGCGGAGGCCACGCACGCGAACGACGTCGACGATCCCGGCGTCGAAGTCGTTTCACCTTGCGCTTGCTTTTATTTCCTTGATTACGCCGTGACGTAAATCGCCGGCGGCGGCCAGCCACCGAGTGCGTCGAGCGAATTACAGCCGGCGGCGATCGCTGCGCGTTCGTTCTCCTCTCCGCTCGAGCCGTTCGACCTGCGGAGATTCTCGATATCCGCTCGACGGCTAATTGAATTGTCGCGTTATCTTTGACAGGTGTTATCTGTTCTTGGCCGGTCCGTCAGCTACCGAATGGCCTTGCCCGGGCTACCACCTTTCTGTTGTGTGAGTCACGAGATAACGCGACGATAACGCGGGGTAATAGCGGAAATTAATAACAACGAACCGCGAGAGAGAGAGAGAGAGAGTGCAGCTCTTTCTCTCTCTCTCTCTCTCTCTCTCTCTCTCTCTCTCTCTCTCTCTCTCTCTCTCTCTCTCCTCGCGCTGCTGGGCATCGAGCGACACGGATGTGTCGTGATATCGATTGATTTCCCAAGTCTAATCATCTAATCATCCAATTGATCGAAAACTGTGGAACGTTGAAGTTTAATATATTAACGTATAATGGCTACGAAGGGGAACATAAAAATAGTACTGCGGATGCAAAAAGCGGCCGAATGATATTCTAAATATAATTTTGTGACAAATATAATTTAAGTGCATGCAAAAGTTTTGGTCTTTTTTCCAGCCCTCTAATGTAATTATTTTAAATTGAAATATTTTCCCGTCGTTTTGTATTTTTGCAAGGTTGGTATTGAATTTTCTAAAATGCCATTTATATCTTGTGATTCATTTTTAAGGTGCACATAACCTTAAAAACAAAACTTTCGACACTGCATTTGATTTTGCCATTAATGTAGAAAGCTGTCCCGAATCCATCCACGAATCTTTACATTTAAGATTATTATACATGATCCACTTTTCATCGTCAGTAACAATTGGCGTTTCAGAAAGTTCAATACCAATCTTGCAAAAACACAAAACGGCGGGAAAATATTTCAAACTTTTGCGTACACTCGACAGATGTGATAGTAAATAAACATTTAAGCATTTAAAAAAAATGTTTTGAAGAGCTTCGATATCGGAAATAATTATCATTATCAGGTTAAATCAGAATTTGTTAATCGACAAAAATTGATAATTGACTAGGACTTGTGGCGATTCGGTGATGATAACCGTGTTCGATTAATGGCTGAATTAACGATTGCGCGAATAATTCGTTGAATAATTTGTTAATTCATTCATGAGCATTGTGCGAATTACACGCACTTCGTACAAAATTTTCTATAAGCTTTTCTATAATTTTTCAACTAACTATTCCGCGTGCTATCAAACGGTAATAACGCGATGTACGATAAAAAAGAAAATATATCGAATTGATTCGAATACACGATGGACAAATAATCCACGTAAGGATGAATATTGCGAATAGAAACACACTCGAGGGATTAATAAACGATGATCGTGTCTGAACAGGACACGCTGGGAAAAGTATTGTTTTATACTGCATTTTATATAGTCCCTTTCTTTTTATATATCCTTTCTTCTCTCTTCCTCTCCTCTTATCTATAGCAACTTCTTACTACTTACAACTGGTGGTGGAAATCTCGGGGAATGGGGTGAGGGTGCAAAGTTGCGAGTGAAAACTGAAGTGAAGAAAATCAATTTATTGACACTAATAAATTGCGCAAACATAACACGTCGCGCTCGCTGCGACGAGCCCGGCGCGATCGCAGCGGTGCGCTCATCGCTCGCTATCGTCCGGTGATCGGTCCATGGAGTGCCTCGGTGAAAAAATCCGCAGTTGATGGTCCGGCTCGAACCAGGGACCCGGGTCGAGCTTACAGCAGAACAGGCGCCGAGTACGCGGCCGAGTACGCAGGCGCGACAGCGTGGGTACCGTAGGCCAAGGGTGCGTAAGCCGCAGCCGCGAACGGAGCCGCAGCGAACCGAGCCGCAGTTGCGACCGGAGCCGCAGCGAGCGGAGCCGCAGCTACGAACGGAGCCGCAGCCGCGAGCGGAGCCGCGGCGAGCGTGTTGTAATTCCTGGCGACGTATTGGCTGCTACTGGCGGTGACGATCGGCGCCGGCACGGCCGCGATCGCGGGCGCCGCGGCCAGGAGGGCCCCCGGCGCAGGAGCAGGTGCAGGCGCGGCGGAAACCACGGCCAGGAGGGCGGCGAGGATGTACTAGAAGAACCAGTCGGTGCACTCGTTAATTAGCGGAGATTGCGAGCGCGCCGGTGGCCTGGCTAGATGAGAGCGAAATGAGCGCGCAAGTGCGCTGCCGGGTGCAAGGGGGAGCTAGTCGTTCTCGTAATTTTACTCGCGGGGGAATCTCGTTTGGATGGATATATAGTGGCGTGTTTCGCCCCGTAAGGATGAAAAGGAACTCCGTGACGCGGAGGCGAGCGCGAATTTTCCTATGAATCTCGTCCTCGTGAGAAATTTAAATGAATGTAAATATATTGATGCAATAGCTCGATCATTGGGATTAAACGATTTTGGAGAAAAATGTAGCGATTAATGTAACAGTAATTGATGATTAATGTAGTTGCTCAATAATAAATCGTAAATATTGATTGATAAGTGTGATAATTAATAATTAATGAAAGAGTTCAATAATTAAGTAGATAATATTCTAGTTATTCCAACGATTCCGTATTATGATTAGTTAGATATTTGATCTAAAAGGAAACGTAATGAATGGTATGATGATAATTGGTAATTAACGCGGTGGTTCAATAATTAATTACTGTGAGTAATAATTTATAAATAATATAAAGTAATAGTAATTATTAGTAATAATTAATATACGTATTCAATAATTAGTTAGACGATATTCTAAATGTTTTAACAACTGACAAGTTAACTTGTCAAGTAATTGCAAAGGGGGAGGCACTCACCAGCTTGGACATGTCGTACTGTTTAGCGTCGAGAGTGATGCTCGAAGCGGAGGAAGAAGCTCGAAGGATCTGCTTTCGGTGTCCAAAAGCAAAAGCCTTTATACCGCTTACTTGAACCCCCAACTGGCACTTCATCAAGGTCGCCAGCGTCGCTACCTCCTGGTTCGCGAGCAAGCAATGTCGACGATGAGCGAACCGCGCCTCTTTCTTTCTTTCTTGGCACGACTCTTTCGCCGAGCACGACAAGCATCCTCAAGTGGCTCTCCTTTCGAAGTCGATGTTTTCGTCACCGATGTGCAACGGTTCAACGGCCTTCAGTTAACGATTAGGGGACCGCTACTTGCGCCAATCATCGTTTCATGTTTACCAAATCCCCGCTTGAAAGACGATTGAAAGAAATACCAACTCTCAATCTTCGGGTTTCTTCAAAAATCTCTTTTTCTAGTTGCAACAGCTTTTCAGTAAATTTCGCAACGTATCCAATGACGGAATCCGTCGTTTAATAATTCTCAGAAGATGAATATCCCAGCATCAGCTTGCGAATGCACTTATCGGACATATTCTGAAGCTTGTCAAGGCAGGAATATGTTGCCATCTTTTCTTCTGATTATATCGTGCACAGAACTATGTTGCACCTTATGTAACCCTTCTTGCCTAGTTACGTGGTCGAATACAATTGTGTGGCAAGGTTGCTGCGACAGGGAGAATGATTACGTTATGTGGAAGCGCTTTACGGCTTACGGGCGGTTAACAATTAGCGGACATTTATTCGCAGAATTATACGTAAAAAGAGTCAACAGGCCGAGAATCGGCGACTCTGTAGCGTGAACAAAGCATCCACGGACCCAATGATCCACATGGGACCAAGCGCTGCTAATTTGGTTCACGACCAGCTGTGAGCTAATCCGCGCAGATCCGTCATCAACAAATAACGTTATTGACAATGCTTTAAATAGAGAGCGAGAGAAATTGATAGCATGAAGTTTAAATAGCTCAATGGTAAGGGTAGTCGCCGCGAAAGGTCCTGGGTTCGAATCCCGTTAGGGTTTGGTTTTTTCTTCACCCCTTGGCATTGTTTCGTTCTTCTACGACATTGACAGAGGGAAAGCGGCGTGTTCGCAGACGAACAGAGCGAGCGAACGAGCGAGCCAGCGAGCGAGAGAGAGAGAGAGAGAGAGAGGGAGAGAGCTCTTTCGCTGAACTCTGCGAATAAATGTCCGCTAATTGTTAACCGCCCGCCGTAAAGCGCTTCCACATGACGTAATCATTCTCCCTGTCGCCGCAACCTTGCCACACAATTGTATTCGATCACGTAGCTAGGCAAGAAGGGTTACATAATCGCTGGCCGGCCACTCTCGTTTACATAATTCCGATTGGACAGAGATCCCCTGTGAACGTAAGCATGTTTAGCAGTAAACTGACTTTGCAGTTTACTGCTACGCTTCGCTCGATTTAAGGCCACATGTGGCTTCATCGAGGAGTTTCAATTAGAAAGATCTAATCTAACTTGCCAGCTCGGATTCTCTCATCATTATCGAGTCGTTAATAATTTTCCATCGACTCAAAGAGTAACGGTAGTAGCAATAGTAACAATAACGATGATGATGATGATGATGATGACAAATGATAATTAAGCGGGATCCACAATAGAAATCGTAAAATCCTAAGTCGTAAGAAAATTGACCAATCGCAGTCTCGATTATCCTCCTTGCGCTCAAAGATCAATTACGATTGATCAATTTTTCCTTACGACCTTACGACTTGCTCAAGATTTTACAATTTCAATCGTAGACCCCACTTTATTTTATCGAACGTTGATAAACGGACGGAAGATTTGGTATTTGGCATTAAATGTCTGTCAATTACCAGAGATCAATCATATGAAAGTGGATGGTTCTCGACAAAGTTCATCCTATTGTTACATGACTAATCGCTACTTGCGCTAAAACCAAACCCGAACGCGCAATAACACACCCCGATCGGGACCTTGAGCACCTTCGCAGCCGGCGAATCAGCCGGATCCATCAGTCGACGTGGTCGAAGCATTGTTCCGATGCGCTCCGAGTCGTCATTGCGAGTCAGGTCGCGACTTTAGCACGACATTCTGGGTCACGCAGGCCCAGGTAACCTAGGTGGCCGACGCTTTATGTAACGCTGCCGCGATGGCTCACGTAGCCGAGGAAAGTGCGCCTCACGGCCGATCGCGATCGACGACAAGCGCGGAGACGGACGTCGCTGAGCTTCTCTCGCCGCATCCTGGAGTTCCTGTTCGCGGGGCGAGTAGGAGAGGCACATGGGAGCCTTCAGCCTGCTGCGATTACTTCAGCGAGGCGGCCGGTAGCCGGCGACTCGAATCTCGTCCAACCACATCGTCCCTCGCGCAACCTTGAGAAGTGTATCCTGCTGCTGATCGCGCGTCACGGCGACGCGGCAAAAACATATCTCGGCGGATCGTTTGCATAAAATGTCCGTTCGAGGGCACGAGTCGATCGTTGATCCCGGGCGTTTGATCCCTACGATTTCTTCCTCACAAAGAGATCACTTCTCGCGCGCGAGCCGACCGCCGCGCTCGCCGCGCCGGCGGAAAAGTCGTGGCAGAAGGACGAGCGGCGGCTCGCTGAGTCGTGTCTTCTTCTCGATTTGTGGAACGAACGCGAAAATGCGTGAAGATTCGATTTCAGCCGTCGAACTGATCTCGCGTCCAGCTCCACGGTGACTTTGCTGATTTATGCTCGTTGTTTTCGCAACAACATCCGTCATAACTTCTCGTTTCCGCTGATGGTGCATATTTGTATTTCGGCTGTCAATTGTATCGATTTATTTTTAATGACTCGCTCGCCTTGAAATCTTTATCGCTTCTTAAGTGGTTCACTTTCATACCCGTCGATAATAATAAATATTTATACTTTGGCTTTTAATTAACCATATAAATAGATAATTAGATACTGTGTTCCTGCCTAAGCAATAATTAGGCAACTGGTATACGCTTAAAGATTTTCATCATTTTCGAACTGATATACTTTCATGTTCGCCAATAATAGGTCTTTGTAGACTTTTGATTGATTATACGAGTGGGTCGTTAAATATTGCTTGTCCTTGAGCAGTAATTAAGCAATCTTGCTTCTGCGTCGTTAGACGCTCTATTTGCTCTATTTCAGCCTATCGTGCAGGATGCACGACCTTGCGAGTTTTTCGAAAATCACATAAACGTCCATTTAGCTTCTGAACTACGCAGCGAAAGTGACAGTGCTATTGCAGCAAGCTGGATTAGACTTACATTAGCGACTCGTACGTGTCGGCTCGTCCGTCTGAGCGGAATAATCAATTATCGATTTCGTCGCAGCTCTATGTCGTTTTTCGCGAGACGCACATTACGGATACGCGCGGATCAGCGCGTTACGTAAGCATGCGGTAATGTGCGTCTCAGTCAAAATCCGTATCAGTGCGGCGGCCTTAGCGGGCCCCGATGACGAAAATCCGGCCCGATCCCCCGAAACGGGGACCGGTCGCCATCAGTTATTCCGGGTACGCCTCGCCCCTGCGACAGGTCGCGTGTAGTTCGCGATGGGAGGGAGGTTCTTTGTCCGCAAGGGAAGGCACGCCGCGTATAAAAGACCCCGAGGTAATCGAGGATAGCGTCGCAGTTTTCGCAGCGGACAATCACTTACAACACACAAGATCAAAATGATGACCAAAGTCCTCGTAAGTTCTCCTCTCCATGTGCAATTCACGCGTATCGTACACTAAACGCGACACTTTGATGAATTTGCACGGGGAATTTAATATTTTGCATTTACACGGTAAATTAACGCTTCTTCTAATTCTTACAATTATTATCACTCTACTACTAATTCCGATTTGTAATCAAATTTACTTTAATTTATATTTAGATTCGTTTTGTCTTCGCAAAGATATATTTAAATATATATTGATTTATATACAATGTATACACGTCAACTTTTATTGTACATTTAATTTAATATTATTAATATACACGCAAACTGCAAATAAAAATGGCGTACAAGTAAATTGAAAATAAATTGTTTGGAATAAAATTATTTAATGTTCAATTTGCTCTTCAGATTAATATAAATTTAATACAAATTGATATTAAAATAAAATAAAATATATAATTTTCAACTTCAAATATATCACATTTATAAAATTTTAAAAATTTATAGGTTATAGCATATATTTATGAATTTAGAATGGACAATAATTTTGACGTAAATGTTAATTAATTAAATATTATTTTATTGCTAATTTACAAACAAACAAAAATTAAAAACTACGTGCGAGTAAATTGAAAATAAAGCACTTGAAATAAAGTTACTTAATTTCCAGTTTACTTTACTCAGATTAATATAAATTTAATATAAATTGATATTGAACTAATATATATGAAAATAAAATAAAAATATACATCTTTCAAATTCAAATATATTACATTTATAATATAAAAAATTTATATATATTATGGCACATATTTATGAATTTTCAGAGGGTAATAATTGTGACGTAAATGTTAATTAATTTAATATCACTTCATCGCTGATTTAATGAATCAAAATTAAAATTCGCGTGCAAGTAAATTGTGAATAAAGTATCTGAAGTGAGATCATTTTATTTTCAGTTTACTTGGATTAATACAAATGTAATACAAATTGATATTAAATATAATCTTTCAAATGCAAATATATCACATTTACAATATTAAAAAATTTATACAGATTATAGCACATATTTATGAATTTGGAGTGAATAATAGTCTTGACATGAATGTTAATTCTCCTCAGGTTCTTCTGGGCGCCCTCGTAGCGGCCTGCTCCGCCGGAGTAGTCCCAGCGATCCCGGCCGTGGTTCCCGCGGCGGTCCCAGCCGCTTTGACGGTCGGGACCTACGCTACGAGTTACAACGCGCACGCCATCAACCACGCCATAGCCGCCCCGTACGTAGCCGCGCCAGCGTATGCAGCCGCACCGCTCGCTTACTCCGCTCTGCCAGCCACTTACGCGTATTCCGCCCCGATCATCGCCGGAAGACGCTGAAAGGAAGGACGCTCGCGAGTCCCGTCGCCGGAAACTCAACCGTACTGACCTCGAACCTGCGAAGAGCGGACAGCAACTGTCGATGACTGAGCGTCGATGACGCTCAGTTCTTTTCTCTTTTGTAAATATTATCGTAAATACTATTGTAAATACGATCGCCCGGTCGATGCACTTTGCATCGGCGCAAAATTTAATACTGATTAGTAGCTGATTAATACATTATTCTTGAACGAATGAATCGAGTTTGGCTTGCTTCTTCAGTTTAAGTTAATCCCGTGGACCCCAAGAAGGTCCTACCTTCTTCAGTCGAATTGCAAGGTGAACGTTCTGGTTGCTGATGAAGCGACATCATCGTGAAAATAAATTAGTAATACACGTCTTGAGCTGAATCTTTGAAGTTGAATTTGTTGAAGAGCTTCCAGGTTTAGGGTTTTAATCGTGTTGCGCGTTTTTCCAATAGAGAGAAAATATTTTACTTATTCACGTCTCAGAAATTACTCTGAGATACCGTTTCATTGTGTACTCGAAACCTCTTACGACCAAAAATATATGAAATTTAGAACAAGAGCACATGTTTAGGATGAACACGAGCCCGTTTTAGCCGATTTGTCGAGGCACACGGATGTCAATCGCCACAAATTGCAGCGCTGCTACTAATTGGGACATCAGCTTCCATACAGCACGAAAGTTGCAGAAATCTTGCTGCGATATTGCATCAACATTGAGTCGGAAGAAGCAACCCAGTAAGCAAGGAACATGAAATTAATGTTTAGAAATTTTGATTTTACGTGAATTTTTGAACTCTTGAATTCTTGAATAATATTATATATATATTTAAAAACTATTATTTTGCAATATGATTTTTCCATATATTGTTAAAACATTTTATAAAACATTATAACAAATATTATTTAAATATTATTTTAACATTTATTTTATGTTAATGCAACAGTTAAAAAATGTTTATAATTTTATATTTGTTTATAATTTTATATTAGATTTGTAACATTATAACATTCTCATTTAAACATTATTGAAACTTCGAAATTATACCCAGAGTAAACATGTTTATATAAAGTGAAGAATTGATGTAGTGTTAAAGTGATAGACTTGTAATCCAGAACTCTTTCGGATGTCGGAGTTCGGTCCCACCAATACCAAGTGTGAGGTTTTTCAAATGTGATGTGACATAGTATCAATAAAGTAAACTAAGTTTCAAGTAAAATCAGCATAACAACTTTAAGAATCGTTTTTACTAGAAAAAGAGCAATAATTAGTTTTTAATTTTTGTACTGAGAAATTACCAAAATGTTAACAAAATTATTAGCACAACATTATTTATAAAAACTTTACATTTGTAAATTCAACATTACCGAAACCTCCAAAAACGGGGTCAAAGTTTGTTCATTATGATATTGCATACAACGTTAGATACGACATATTTGAAAACGTTACATGTTACTGAATATCGTTATAATAACGTTGTAATAATGACTTTTTGCTTACTGGGAACGAGTTCTTTCCATACAGCAGAGAAGTTGCAGCAACATTGCTGCAACTTCTCTGCTGTATAGGTTACTTCGGAAAAAAGGAGAGACAATATTCGCACAGAGCGGAGAAGGAAGGGAAATAAGCACAGTCCGGCGAATCGTTCTTTTTCGTCATGATCTATTAATATTACTTATAATGTTAATGTCAATAAACCTGATACAAATATATTCTGTGCCACATTTTGTACTCGTAAACATTTCTTTTGAATTTTTTTCCTTTTGTCATATACGTGTATTGTATGTACTTATATTCTGGTAAAATGTACCGCGTTTTTGTCCTCCTTACGTTATTATTATGCACAATATACAAACTATGATCGAAGAGAAGTGAGAGACGCGAGCGCGCGAGACGCGCCCGGAAGTGGGAGTCGCCGCGATAAAACGAACGCTGGTAACTATCCTTAATGGCAGAAGCGCTGCGAAGAAGGTGCACTGGGCAAGGAAGGAGGGGGGGGGGGGGGGAATGAACGAAATGCTCGATTTTCATCGAAACGATCTATACAGGACGACCCTATACACTCGTATAAAAAGACAAACGTCCACTTTCACAGTACAAAGCTCAAGTGAGAAGGATCAGCGAAGAATGTAAGAGAAGTAAAAGAGACGACGTCTCGACGACGCCGCCTCGCTTTATCAAATTATCGCTACGTCAGCTATATAAAATCGTGTGTATATATATATATATATTATATATATATATATATAACAATGGGCGCCTTTCTCGATTTGGCACAAGAGTTACAAGTTACTTTTCGATCTTTGGTTTCGATAAATGGCTAGAGAGAGAAAGAGAGAAAGAGAGTGGGCGTAAATCTAGAAACCTGGAAGCGACACGAAAAATCAACGTTGCACACGAGGGTGGTACCACTGCGCGCGTTCGTATCACTGTATCAATAAAACACATCGAGCCATGATATCGCTGCGAATACGAAAGAAAATATTCGTCCCTTCCCGCGAAAGGCATTCGATATACAGGATGTCCGGAATCTTCTGGAGACAGAAAATTGTGAAGATTAATCAGATCTGAGAGGAAAAGTCACTTACCATTTTGCAGAAATCGTACTAGTTATTAATGATTGAAAATGTCCACATCTAGGAGCTCTTTTAATTGATAACTTGAAAGTCTGCGTACTTATTTGCAAAATAGTAGAGGACTTTTCTCCTCAGTTTGATCTGATTAATCTTCACAATTTTTCCTTTCCAAAAAATCCCGGACACCCTGTATGTATATTAATACATATATTACCGATAATGTGTGAGAAGCAGGCGTGAATAGAATGCCTAGGGAATCTAGGCAGGATGCGTGACGTCCTTGGGCAAAGCGTGAAATATCCGTGTCATTTTTAATACTTTTCCTAGACAATGTATACAGAGTGTCTCAAAAGTCCCGAAACAAAGTAGCAAATATCTCGAAAATAAAGCATTTTAGGAAGAAAACGTTTCGTACAAAAGTCGTGGAATTTCAAGCGACGTGTTACGTAACAATATTAACATAACCTTGAATAGTGTTGTCAAGGTCATACAAGGATCATTTTTGGATTTTTCAATGGAAACCCTCATTTTTTATTACATCACCTTTTTCTACCAACGAACTTGAGCAAACTTTGTCTCAAACATTTTTTATGTGCCTAATATTTTTGAAGATATTCAAAGAGAACTTGGCATCTTTTTTCAATATTCGACTTACGATTTCTCTATTTGTCGGAAGAAAAAGTGTAGACTTTTAAAATAGGAGTATTGATCTCCTTGTTGCAACAGGGAAGGCTAGAATAGCATTTTGAATCGCACTTAACCCATTGACTGTAGAGGCAGAAATGTACTAGTTGTGCCATTTTTGTGTTGGAAAAAATGTCGAATTTTCTTTATGATATTTTTAAAATAAAGGTTTTTTGGGGTCGCTGAATCCGAATCTGATATCAAAATTTCAAAATTCAAAATGACGGATCGACCATGGTGTGTCAAAATTATGAAAATAATCGGATATTTATGAAAGTGGGTATCTATATGTTTTTGGGACCGCTGAATCTAAATTTGATATCAAAATTTTAAAATTAAAAATGGCGGATCTAAATTTTGAAAATCAGATTTTCATGATTTTTATAATTTCGACTCGCCATGTTGGATCCGTCATTTTGAATTTCGAAATTTTGATATTAAATTCGGATTCAGCGACTCCAAAAACATACAGATACCCACTTTCATAAAAATCCGATTATTTTTATAATTTTGACTCGCCATGTTGGATCCGCCATTTTGAAATTTGAAATTTTGATATCAAATTCGAATTCAGCGACTCCAAAAACATATAGATGCCCACCTGTATGCAAAAAACAATAGTTTTACTATTTTTTTTCTTCGATGCGTGTATACACGTCATCCACAGTCAAGGGGTTAATAGTCTTTCTCACACAAGAGCGCCTCATATTTTCGTGAGCTTTTCGAAAATCACGTGACAATAAAACGTGACAACGTCACTAATAGGAATATCTTATTAAGCGTTTAACACTTTGATGTTCCATCTTCGGCATCCTATAGACCTCCTACATTTCACACAGCGACGGTGACACATATACGAGGTTCGTAACGAATATCTGTGTATGCACAGGGTGTCCCAAAATCATGTGACTTTTTAACAGCGTATTCTAAAGTACCAACTGCAGTTCAACAGAATTAACACGCAAGCGTTGATCGAGGCATCGGTATTTCTTGAACTAACGAAGAATGCGAAGTAATTGTCAAAAAGCCGGGTGAACAAAATTTTGAGCTAGTCTCAGGTAGAGTGCATACTTGAAGAAAATTCTTGTTGAGAATTTCGTTACATGGTGCACGTGACATCAGCAATCGAAAAGGGACTTTTAAATTTGAATTTAACTTTAGGCAGGCAATTGCAAGGTTAGGAGAAAAGTCTCTTTGAAAATACCCCTCGTTGGCCAAAGGTAGCCAAATATAATTTCCGTTCTTTTGCCAGCAGATTTCGAAGATCTTTTTGTACCGTTCGTTGTCGCTCATTTCGTGTGCAAACAAGCGCATTATGTCAGTTATCTTTACCCAAGAGATATAATTGCATTATCATCGTTACTAACGAGATGTAAAATAACGCTATCCAAATCGTTACCGAGGAAAAGTAACTTGCGGTGCTGACGACGTTACCTCCCAAGTGAGTGACAAAATTGCATTTTTGGCTGATTTCGAAATCACAAAGATACCAAAGATCGGATAAACCCGGCGCTTTCGCGCTCGCATTTCCGGCCGTGATCGAACTGTGAAAAATATCGCGTGACAGTTTTGGGACACTCTGCGCATATACACGCAACTCAACAATGGCCAACGTAATGCCCTCGCGAATCGAGGCTCGTAAAAACGGAGAATCGGACGTCGAGTTGCGAATCCGACGATAACAGAAACGTATCGACACTATCGCCGGTCTTCGTGCGTTGTCGGACTGACAGGGAAACATAGGGAACTTGGAAATTCAAAAAATTATGAAACTTTATGTGGAAGTAAAGTAGTTTATCCGTAATGCAAAACTATTTTTTGTTCATACGGAATTCCACTCTGAAAGGGTGAAACCAACTTTAAAAGAAAGAAATTTTCATTTTTAGCGTATAGTTGAAAAATCTTTGAAACCCCCTCTGCCCTTCTCCAATTTTGCAAAATCTGAATATACAGTTGCAAAGAGTATGAAATACACTACAACTTTCATATAAACTATTTTTGTATATACTTCATATTTTAAAAGATATACGCTAGAAATGAAAATGATTTCTTTTTTCGAAGATTGGTTCACCCCCTCAGACTGGGATCCCGCACAAACAAAAAATAGTTTTGTATTATGGATGAACTACTTTACTTCCACACAAAGTTTCATAATCTTTCGAATTTTCGGATTCCCTATCTTTCCTTGTGAGCGAGCGAGAAAATGTACGCAGGAGTTCGCGCGATCTCACAAATTTGTAGCCGCAATAAATACACATACACGCGCGCGTACACACACACACACACACACATACACACACGCTTCCCCCGACAAGCCGGTCGCGGCCGCCGGGACGCTCGTCGTCGCGTCGTATAAAGCTAATGCCGCCTTTTGCGCTATGACATACACAATAATGACTAGAATAAAAATGAACATTACGATTTGTTATCACCATGCAGATACACTTACAGCTACCGTTAGGCATCTTCATTGAAATATCTTGTTCTCAACATCCCAGATAGCAAACGGCGCTACACGTACATGCGCACTCCGCGGAGTTCGCGGCAGAGGATTCGGGTAGAATCTGCGTTTCTCGCGCGAACACACACGCGTGTCGCTGATTGAATCTTCCTTCGCGCAGGACGCAATAATTTCACGGGAGAGAGACAGAGAGAAAGGGAGAGATGTGCTATCTGGGATGTTATCGCCCAAGCCACGTGTTACATAGAGTATTTCGCTCACTTCATTCCTTTTTTCCCCCTTTCGTCGGTGGTATAGATCCGAAATAGAAGAATATATAAGCTAGAAGCTAAGTAACAATTTTTAATAATCTTAATTATCACGGACGTGGCACTGGATCACGCATGTGTGTCTCTTTTTCATCGTCCTTATCTCCTACGTCAAGCACTCTGACGGTACACACTCATCACGCATCATACTGGTTCCGTATATACGCTGCTCAGAAGGGAGGTAAATAATATAAATAATTTAACGGCTATGTCGTTATATATATATATATATGTACGGGTGAACTAAGATATCTCTCCGCTATCGTATTCTGGAATAGATTTCTCTCCGTAGAATCTCGCTACTTGACTTGTTTCTCTTAAAAAAATAACGTCCGCTCTCTTCTTCTTCTTCTCTGAACGTCATGGTCGCGCACTCTCGTATATTTATCGCGCTAAGCTACAGGGTCACGACTGTCTGCGCTACCGTGTGATACTGTTGATTCTTTTCTCCTCTTCTTCTTCTAATAATCCTTCCTCTCGACGAGACCTCAGCGTCGCGATTCTCATACGCAGACCAGCGCGATAACCCTGCCATCTACAGGATTCTTCGGTCATTCAGGGTTAGGGAAGTTGCCTCCCGAAAGCGATTCGTTGCCGCTACCGTCACATCATACATTTGGAAAATTTCCCATTGCAATTCTGATAATCTTCTGGCATTCTGACCACTTCAGCTAATAGGTCTGTTCCTTCCAGCTTTGAACTTCAACTTTGTTTTCTGTCGTTCGAGTGACTTCGCCGAAACTAGCGCGAGCACGGTCGATTTTCTGGCTGTTTCTTGATTACTGAGGCAAAAGAAAAGTTTTCGGCCTGCTTTGCAAACCTTCTCGACCGCAAGTGAAGAATCTCGAGCGCGTGTTCTCTCGCTTCTGACGTCTCACAAACCGACCAATTATTCTTGACACATAAAGTCGTTTGCGCTTTTTCGGTGCGAATCATCGAAAGGTCATGACGTCACGTGAAAGTTGAATGACTGTTCAGCTGAAGATATGAAACGGTGCCACTGTGACTTCTCGAAAGTGACTAAGCTTTAAATTTGATATGACTTCGTGACGGTGCATCGTCCATGCCGGAAACCAAATGACAATGATGAAGAATTATATATTCTTCATATATATTGCTCGCTTGAGAAACGGCTCAAACTGTCGCTGAAAAAAAGTAACTTGTAACAGCAACGAATCGCCTCCCGACTCTGCAGTCACCCGCATCACTCTGCATTGTTACAATTCGCCCATCGTGACTACTGACCATTCGACAAAACGACAACGGTGCTCTTAACCTTTATTCTTGAGAAAACATGGCGTCCCTAGCGCTAATCGTAAAATCATGCAAGGGAAAAGGAGCAAATTCTTCACATACTCTCGTCGTTTCGTGAAATAATCATCGGCAGACACGATGCGTGTTCTCGCATGGAATATTCTAGCAACCCTGTGTCTGCTAAACGTCAAGGTCACCGTGCCGGCCTGCGTACGGCCGACTTGACCGCGCGGACAACGTATCGTTTAGCGCTATCTGACGAACGTCGTGTATGAAAATGGCAGTCCCCCTCTGCGACGCGGGTGCGTCGCAAGGTGAAGCGTGCTGCACGAGCACTTGGATGACCAATGACCTAAACTCGCTAAGGATGAAAGCGACCCGCGGGAGGACCGAGGCCCGCCGACGTTTGGAGAGGAGAACCTTGTCGGGGGGACCAGCAGGTTGATCACCAGCCGTCGCGTTGTCGACGATGAAGATCGAGAACGATCAATAATAACCGGGGTAATGGTGATACCCTGTTCTCGGAGGGTGATACGGAGCCGGGCTCACAGGGTAGCTAGGGTTGTAGCCAGCCAAAGGAGGCGGCGGCGGAGACAACATCCGGCCATCGCCAGCGTCAGGCACCACGTGCGTCGTCGCCGAGCCGGCCGACTGCGGGCTGGTGATGACGCGGGTGGCACCTGAGCCATGCAGATGGTGACTTCTCGAGAGGCTCAGGTCGACGCTGTGCCTGCCGCCGGGCGTGAGGTCTAAACTCACCACCCTCAGAACGTCCCCATGAGGATAAGGCGGTGGAGGCGGCGGCGGCGGTGGCGGCGACATGGAATAGCTGCCGGTCCTGCTGAGGTCCACGCTCTGCCGCTCACCTATGTCGTACAGGTGGTGGTGGTGGTAGCGTGTATTCTGCACTTGGACGCCGAAGCTGTGATGGAAGCTACGGGCGGACATGTCAAGACCCTGGAGCTCGCCGCTGTTCAGCATCAGTGGCTCAAAGTTCGGCCTTTCACGGATAAAGTCCTGCTCGAGCGGGTCGTAGGACTTGTAAGACGTCGACAGGTCCAACTGCAATGCCTTCTCCTTCACGGACAGGCTGAGGTTCTGCGCGACCGCGTCACCCTCGTCGCTCGACAGATTGTCTGTGGGCACCTGGTGGTGATGGTGCATGTCCTGATAGCGAGGATTCGGAGTGGCGGACGGTGACACCAGGTCCTCTTGCTGCATGTGGATGTAGTTGGGCGACGAGACGCGCGGCAGCTCCTCGTGGTGCAGGTATTGCTCGATGTTGTGCGTCCGCGAGGTGTTCATGTAGTCGACCGGTCGGTGCAGGTGATAGTCCACGTGCAAATGATTGGGCGGACTGTGCCGGTCGTCCGGCGTCGGCGCGGGCGACATCAGCTCCTCTTGCTGCTGTATGTAGGAGTCCAAGTGGTTCGGTGAGCGCTGCGGCATCGGCGACTGCAGCGGGTTCGAGATGGTGTATAGGTTGGCCTCGCGGTCGTTATCCTCCAGGATCGGGCTGGATACTGTGCCGATGTCCCTCTCCGCGGCGTCTAGGGCCGCCTCGACCAGGAGGCTAGCGTTCGCGCTCTCGGTCCTGCGGTACACACTCAGACTCAGCTTGTTGCCGTCGATCAGGGTCTGAGTGGTCGTGACAATGGTGCTGCGCGTCGCCGTCTTTTCGCCGTTGTCTTTCCGGTCGTCTTCAAAGTCGTACACGTCGGAGGGCGCCGTGGTCGGCGGGAGGTGGACAGTCACCAGGTCGGATGAGACTGGCGGGTTAAACTCGCCCATCCACTTCTTGCTGCCCTTGCTCTGCACCTTCGCGGACGCGCTGTACATGTCGACTTCCGGTGGCCGTTGGACGTTCTCTATGCTAGCGTCCAGGCCGACCGACAAGGACGCGGCTTGTGGCGACATGGGGATCTGGAGCTCCTGTTCCGACTTGTACTTTACCGTGTTCCCGTTGCTCGAGAATTCTATGATGCTGTTGTGACCCGAATTCACCGGCACCTCGACCTTCAGGCTGTTCTCTGAACTGCAGTCGTCCACGGATGGCAAACTGTTGCTGTTGTCCTGCTGTACACATGGCTCGAGTGAGAAAGTGGATATTGATCGATTAAAAAAGTCTAGTTGGCTAAAATAATTGGCGACTCGATAACCTAACAAACGGTTGATGAAATTAGTTGCTCATCAATGTACAATCAACCAAATCAAAGTGGTCGTTGTACGCAAACGATCAATCGTGCTCAGAATTGCAGGTAGCATGAAATATTTCAGTACAAAAAAATTCAAAGTGGAAAACGACCAGACATAATTCGGCAAATATATTTCTCATCAAGGGAGATCCTGAAGAGGACCCCAATAACGGCCGAGACGTATGATTTTACAGACTGGTTACGTGACTATTCCAGATAGTAAATTTCGCCTGCCGGAATGCAGCGCTCTTGCTCGCCCGTGCGATCATTGATCTTCCTCCCGACTCGATTGAATGACGAGTGAATCACCTGAGAATTTCTTCTGTTGGAATGAGTGGCCTTTCCGCAAGAACTTTCCTCCACGAGGCCACCGCTGTACGCGTCGAACGTGTACGCCACGGATCTCTCGATTTTCGGCATCATCTCCTCCGTGAGGCCGTGCACCTTCTTGTAGTGGAATTGCAGGCATTGCTTCGTCGTGAAAGCCGCCGTGCAACTGTTCTCTTTACATCTGTAAAAGGAAAAGAATACAGCTTGTATAAAATACCGAACTGATGACGTCACGGAAGTGAGAAGACAGACGCTCCAGATTCTTGCAAAATACGACGAAGTGAGATGTGTGTCCATAACAATCAATAAATTATTATTGCTTGTTCCTCTCTTAATTCTGTCACGTTGACTTTACGGTAGTTTGTATCAGAGTAAGAAGTGCTCAAATTATCTTGCAGATCTGCTCGATCGAATTTGACATTTCGCAAACGTCATAAATCAAGATGACCACGACGAAGAAACAAGAGCCTCATCTAGAGAAGAAGAAGAGGAGAAAATGGATCAGAGACGCACTTGAACGGTTTTACGCCGCTGTGCGTCAGCATGTGTATCTTCAAGTTGCTCTTGTTCTGGAACATCTTGCCGCATCGGTCGCAGGTGGCCGCGGCGATGACGTCCTTGTGGTGAACCTCCTTCATATGGCGCTGCAGAGCCGCGCGGGAGCCCAGCAGTTTCAAGCACGACTTGCATTGAAACTCCCTTAGCACCTCGGCCATATCTGCGCGGCAAGATGCCTCGTTAGCGCGAGAAGATTACGAGTGAGAAGAGGCTAACATCACATGAGTCGATCTTACCATTATGCATTCTCTTGATGTGTACTTTCAGCTTCTGCGGCTGGCAGAACTTGCGGCCGCAAAAGTCGCACAGGGGCCGCGACCGTTGCGGGTTCTGCGCGCACCCGTAGGTCCTGTGCATCTCCAGGTAGTTGAGCCTCAGGAAGAATTTCTTGCAGTACTGACACTGATACGCGCCGCGACCCGCATGCAACTCCGCCGCGTGTTTCATGATGTTGTCCTTGCCGAGAACCGCCGCGCCGCAGACCTGAAGAGAGCAACAGAATTTTCTTTTCTCTCACGGTAGACAATCGCTGAGAATGTAGGCTAACGAGAGCCGGCGGGTTTGTGTGTTGGACGTAATAATTGGGGTACCAACAGGAGGATAAAATTGTCCGTTAGCGGAGAGTACCTTTTTTTTGACTTGTTCTCCAGACTTTCAACGCACAATTTTTTTTAAGCAGGTTTGGAAGACAACTTGTCACCGTTTCACTTGTTACTTTTCTCAGTTCCAGTTATGTTTCCTCGCTAATTACGATTGTGATAATGGTTTCTTGTTTTTAGGTTAACAATCGTCATAAATATACAGAGTGTTTCGAAAAGAAGAGAAGAAGAAAAAGACGAGCAAAAAGTTTCTATAAACAAAAGTTGAAAAGTTAATGTCGAGAGACAAGCTTAAAGAAATTACTTTTAATGTGGACGTAATGCATACGATAATATCTAAATGCGTTTCAACAAAATGGAAAAGGATAAGAATAAAAGATGCTGGCCGCGCGAAGCAATGCAATTCCGAAGTCTCCGCGTCAGACCGTCTCGTGCGTTCAGACACTCCTGGAATATTGCGCTCAGCATCCATCTGCTGTTTTCGTTCGTCGTCAACCGGATCCATGTTATGTAACGAAGATGGAGGAGTGATTACCTTGCAGTGGTACTTCCTGATGGTCAGACTGTAATTAGTGTCATGGAAGATGCAGCAGTGCAACCGGTAGTATATCGGGTGTGAGAAATTCAGGTTACACCCCCCGCAATCTGAAAGTGGGGAGCCAGTGTGAGAAATGGCTTCGGATAAAAATATAAAAAGAACAGAAATCCAAAGAGTGTCGTCGGCGCGACACGATTGCCAACTCGGCCAAGTTTACGCACTGGTTTTGTCCGTCTTGTTCTTCCTCGTCCATGCGAAGGATTGCGAGTCCGCCCAGTAAGTCAGCTCCATGCCCGATGTGATATTCTGCGTAGTGACAAGGTGCAGTTGACCCTGCTTGGTGATGACGGCGACGCTTCGTTTCTCCTTCGTCTCAGCCGGTCTGATATATCGAATCCAATTGCTCTTCAGCGGGTCCGTAGTGCTGACGTAAACACTCTTCCCGTTATTATCTACCTGAAAGGAAGTAGATTTTTTACGTTATTGAGTAGTTGCTGAGTACAACCGCAAATTCAGTTGACAAGGTTTGTAGTGAAAAATTATAACAAATCGGTAAATCGTGAATAGATTACAGCAAAATACAGATTGTAGTTCAGCATCACGTAATTATCACCTGTATTTTAAAATAAAAATATGCCAAAATTTTATCAATCAAGGATAGCTCCAGTTATGCTACAAAAATCATCACGAATTTCCTTTCATTTATTGTTTCTATTATGTAGATGAATATTGATCCACGTCTGCTAATGTCTTTTCTTCTTTTCCAATTTCTGGTACAATGTCAACATATTGATTTTAAATATCATAAAAATCCTAAATATAATTTGAGAGCACAAATGACACACTGGATGAAGAAACGTCAACTTTAATTACTTCTAATATTGTAACCTTCGAACAGAGTTGATCTTCTTCTGCGTGACTAGTCAGATTAAACTTCAACTAATGTCCCAAAACTGAAAATTACAACGCACAGAGAAAAAAAAGTTTGCTTAGATGAAACAATTTTTTGGTGGAACATGGGCGACGCAGAAATTCCGGCTGGAATCATCAGAATCGAGTCAAGATTTCTGATGAACTTGACCAGAACTCTGGTATTTCTCTCCAGAAAACTGCTTCATTCAACCAAACGCCATGTTCTCCGTACCGACTCTTAGGAAGTCCACTTGACGAGGTAACCTCGTATTAACCAAAATCACACAAAGGGCCACCGAGGAGGAACCCTGAAGAGAAAACAAATCGCACGCCAACGACAATACCTCCCAGATATGGCGCATGGAGAAGTCGTCCGGGATGTCCATCTCCCTGACCGGCATGCCGATGAGCGGGCCGAGTTTGGCGTACATCGGCACCGGGTTCTTGGCGTAAATTCCAAGGCCGTGGTCGTTGTTGGTGAACCTCAGCTCCAGGCAGTCGGGCAGCGAGTCCCTCGCGTACAACGGCCGCTCCACGTCGACCGTCAACTGCTTCTCCTCCCGCTGCGCCTTCGCCTTGCTCTTGCACTGCTCACCGGACAACGTCTCGTCGTCCGACTCGCAGCCATCGTCCGCTGGCCGCCCGTAGCCCTCGGACATCGGGTCGATGGTCTTCATGGCCTTGATGACCTCGGCATTGTCCTGATGCTTGGCCAGCCACTCCTGATAGCTAACAGCGTCCGCTATTGTGTACTGCGGGCTGACCAACGGACACGCGTCCTGCAAGTGGCGGCTGTTGCACTCCTGGCAGAGCTTGATCCTGATGGCCAGCCGTTGCGGCTCAGTTATCACGCTGTCGACGGCCTCGACGGGCCTGCCGAGGCCGTCGCTCGGCGGCGAGGACTCGGCCTCCGGCGCGCACAGCTCCTGAGCCGGCTCGTCCACCACGACGATACCATCCTGAGGCGCCCTACGCACGTCGTGGTGCTTCTTCGTCTTGTGCTCCTTCGTATGCTTGTGCTTGTTCCGTCGGTGCTTCAGCACCGCCTCGTCCGCGCCGGTCTCCAGGGGATCCTTCTCCGAGGCATTCTCGTCGACCTGCGCGGTTTCGTGCCGCGGCTTCTTCCGCTTCCTCTTGAGCTTGCGCTCGTCCACGTCGGGACTCGGCTCGTCGTCCCTCGGCACGTCGCAGGTTGCGCCCTTGTGCGGCTCCTGCGGCTCTGCACCCGCGCTCTCCTTGTCGAGCGCGCTCGCGGCCTGCGCCTCCGCCGTCTCGACGGAGCCAACACTCGCGTTCGACGGGTACTCGGCGCCCTTGGCGGAGTCGTCCTGACAGGCGAGCCTCGGCAGAGCGAACGCCACCGCGTCGTCACACTGCAGTCTAGTGCTCCTATTACCCTCTAAGGTGGTGTCCTTGTCGGAGCCCTCGGCGCTCGCGTCGGGGCCGGTGTTCGTGTTGTGCCTGATGTCGTTACTCGTATTATTTACATCGCTTATAAATCTTACACTATCTACGTGCTCAGTCTTGATCGTGGCGGCCTCGGCGTCCCTCGCGGCCAATCTCTTCACGCCTAATTTGAATTTCGCCTCCACCTCGCCGCCGCCGGCCACCGTCGCCGTGGCCTCGCAAGCGTCCGGGTCTTCGCTCGCCGCGGAGCCGCCGCCGGACCCGTTCACCGATACGGACCCGGCGGCGTCCTCGGGGTCGCCGCTCTTCGAGTGCCGCCGCTTCTTGCGCTTGTCCTTGTGGTGTTTCGTCTTGTTCTTGTGGTACTTGGACTTCCAGCTGCGTCGCACGTGCAACTTGATCACGTTGTCCAGCACCGCCGACGGCACATCGCTTATCGCGCCGGCTGTGGACTCCTGCTGCTTCCTCAGGCTCCTGCGGATAAATCCTTTCTTCTCCTCCTCCTCCTTCTCCTCCTCCTCGTCCTGCTCCTCCTCCTCCTCCTGCGTCTTGCCTTCGCCGCCGGGACTTTTAATCTGGATAGCTCCCTCATCGCGATCCTTGGCCTCGCTCGCTTCCCACTCCTCCGCACCATTGCATTTGTCCTCTTGCCTGCGGGCGAGAGAAATTTGTCAGTCGATGGAACTTCAGGCTGAATCTCGGTTTCAGCGGTTTCATCAACAGGAAACGTCTTAGTTTTCAGGCTCTGTATTTTTCTCTTTTGTGAAGATGTGTGAAGATTACGTGGAAGTCAAGTCTATTCTTTCGACGGAGTCATGATTTTAAGATCGCCAAAGACCATCTTGAAAGTTGATTCATCTTCCGATTCAATTTATCCTAATATTTTTCAGTATGTAAAGTATAATACTCGCAAAGTACGGAGAAGAAATATTCTATCACTGAAGAAAGCGACTGCTCAGTTTACTTTCTTCTCTCCTTCAGTGGTTATCTTCGATGATTTGAAGATTGCCAAAAACCACTTTGAAGGTTGAAGATTTCAATTCATCCTGATATCTTTCAGCGTGTAAGGTATAAAACTCGCAAAGTACACGGAGAAGAAATATTCTGCCATTGAAGAAAGCGACTGCTAAGTTTATTTTTTTCCTTCAGTGATTATCTTCGATGGCTTGAAGATTCCCGAAAACCACTTTGAAAGTTGAAGATTTCAATTTATCCTGATATCCTTCAGCGTGTAAGGTATAAAGCTCGCAAAGTATACGGAGAAAAAATATTCTGCCACTGAAGAAAACCACTGCCCAGTTTACTCTCTTCCTTCAGTAATTATCTTCGGTAAGGAACATTGTCTTAGCAACAGTCTAAAGATGTGCTCATTAAGAAGAATTTATTCTTTTCCCAAGAATATTATAAAACTTGTATTCCATTAGTGTGAAAGAGATGTGGACACGGTTACTTAATAAGTTATTTCTTCAGTAAACACTGAGTGACAATTATAAAAAAATAGCTGGCTGGTGATTTTCATCAACAGCCAATTTTACAAGAGCGACAACTGGCATCTGCAAAACATGTGCACCCCAAGTTCCAAGACGGTTCCGACATGTTTGTTTTATGCAGTACAGTGAGCAACAAGCGTCCAATGAGAGAACTGAAATTTGGAGAGTATTCCAAAAACAAGCATCGTCTGCGTTCCGCGCCGATTCATCCATTAGGAAGTTCCATCTTCACAATTTGAAGTTCCGGACTTTCGGAACGATGAGATACTTCTCGCGAGGCAAGTTAAACAACATGAAGACACAAAGAGAGAGAGAGAGAGAGAGAGAGAGAGAGAGAGAGAGAGAGAGAGAGAGCGCGCAGCGAAGGATTTTCGCCGCGAGAGGAAGACAAAGAGACGGCGATAGTCGCGAACAAAAGGACTGGCCGAGATTCATGCAGTTTCGAAGCAACAACCTCAAGATTTATCAGGCGGAGCGCGCGATCAAGAAAACGCGGCGAACGATAGAGAGAAAGAGAGAGATGATTAGAGGGGAGAGGGAAGGAGGGAGAGATAGACAGAGACGGGAATAGCCGCAAATAAAAATATTGGCTGATAAGCGCAAACACGCATCGATCCGCGCGATCGCTCGCGACTTTCAAACCGCCGCGCGCGTGTCCTTTTCGCGCGCGCGGGCCGGCGTTATCGATCGCGCTTCGGCCGCTCCTCTCCCCCGCGCAACGGCAGAGCGTCGTCCCCCGCAAGATGGCGATTCAATGGCACGCTGGGCGACAGTAGGGGGGGCGGCCCGAACGCGTGACAGGTTGGGCTGCCGTGCGTTCCGCCGAGAAGTGTTGAGGTTCGCGCGCGCGACTTTGTTGACAGATGCAGCGCGCCCGTTGCCAACGTCGCGAATCGTCGCGGTCGTCGTCGCCGTGGCCAGCGGTCATGACTCACGACGACGACGACGGCGGCGGCGGCGGCGACGATGACGACGACGAAAGCACAATGACCGCGACCGAGCTACGTCGTCGTCGTCGTTGACGATGACGGCGACGCCATGAGAGAGACAGAGACATACCTGGTGACGGCGGCGGACTCCGCGAGATCCAGCAGGTACACCGCGACATCCTCGTCCGTGGACAGGCCGAGACGCTTCTTCAACGACAGCCAGCGCCTGCCGCTCGTCAGGCCGATGTGCACGCTGCGAAAGTGCCTGGTGGCGGCCACTTCCGGAGTGGCCGTCGCCGCCGCCAACGTTGTGCCGGCCAGCGGCGCGGCGCAGCCCCCGTTCTGCGGCTGCGGCTGCTGGCCGCCGCCGCTGCTGCTTCTCGTGTTCGCAGGTCCCCTCACATGCCGCGCGGTGCCCTTCTTCGGCATTACTACATCGTACAGGCTCGGCCGCGATCCGACGGGCTGCGGGAGTCTGCTGTGGCAACGGGCGAGACGGGTACGGGACCCGCGAAAGGGCACCTCCACAGGAGGACGCGCACCGATATTATCCTATCCTCTTTATGCTCACCGCCGCCTGCCACCGCCGCCACCTCCTCCTCCACCACCACCTCCTCCTCCTCCTCCTCCTCCTCCTCTTCCTCTTCCTCCGCCGCCGCCGCCGCCGCCGCCGCCGCCGATGCTGTCACCGCCGCCGCCAGCAGCAGCACCGCCACCGACGTGCCGCCCACCCTGAGACGCACGCTCCTCCTCTCTCTCCGTCTCTCCCGCTCTCGCCGCGTCTCTCTGTCTCGCCCCCTCCGCCGGCGACTCGTCGCCATTCTGTTTTATCGATTACACGGCCGAGATGTGCAACATGCGGCGGCGACTCTCCGTCGTCGTGATTCAGCGGCGCCGATTTACGACGCCTGAGGTGTGACGAGCGAGCGAGCGAACGAGTCCGCTTTTTTCGCACGCACGCCACGCGTCTGGATATTCGTGCATCGTGGCGCATGAGTATCGGGACTATCGGGAGAAGCAGCGGCGATGTGAGCTCGCAGCGGGCCCGAAACCGCAGCGGGTGACGTCATGAGCTCCGGCCCGGCCTGTCACGGATTTTTCAGCTTAGCTGAACGGCTGTTACGTTTATCGTCATGGTTAAACTCGCGTTGCATCCCATATCGCATTTACAACTGTAGTTTATGCAAATCTATAGTCTGCACGAAAAAAGTCTCAAAGATGGGCCAGAGCATAGACTTCTGCATAACGCATAATACACAACGCATAAGAGAATCAACCAGAGTTCTTCATTTCTGTCCTGAGGAAGGAAATGAAGAAAACTAATTGGTTTATTCTCTTATGCGTTATGTATAATGTATTATGCAAAAGCCTGCGCTCTTGCCTGATGTCTTCTTTTTGTCAAACATGTATTGTGATTGGTTGATAATAAATGATTGGACGGAAGAAGGGACGAAACAAAATCGACGCTATCGAGTTCTTCTACGATGGTTTTCTTACAATTTGTGGGCGTTGATAGTTAAACCAGAGAGAAAGCTGAGAGCGGCCAACACGGCGTTTTCGGCGACACCGATTTTTCGCACTGGAAATGGGCGTCATCTGTATCCATTTTGAGAGGAGAACTACGATGCTACATCCACTTTTAGGTCTTGGTGGTAAAATCTGCATGTGGTGGAAGTCCGTGCTACATTCACTTTCAGGAGGTTTATGTCCGTGCTGCAACCATAGTTACCATATCTCTATGCCAGACTATGCCCGAAGGTCTAAAAAGAGCGCGGGGGGGGGGGGAGCAGGAAAAATAAAAGTACATATTAAATATTAAATCCTCTACATACATGTTGCCGTATCAAAATCTCCTGTATAACAAACGATTTGATACGTCTGGAGACGCATGATGTATCGTTGCCCGCGTCCCGTTCTCTTCGTCCTGCTTCACAATTCAGCATCCTGTCCGCTCCGGATATTCGCTCGTGGCCGGACTGACAGTGGCCGTCGGTGAGCATTCGATTCGCTCGGAGAAGCACGTGTTAATTAACGTGACTCCGATTATAAATATCCCGCGAGTCGACGAAATATCTGAACTTTTAAAAAAAGCATCAAAGAAAATCACGCTGATGTTGTCATGGGTGAAGTCTCACCCTGGTATTGTACCCTGGTACCCAATATATATTTTTTTATTTTCGAAATAAAACAAGCCAAACGAATGCAATTAAATGTTATTTATCATCATTGAATATTAAATGAAAAGTAGAAGAGTTATTGTCCGCAGCGGGATAATTAATCATTTAATAAGAACGAGACAAAATTCGCACGGGATGAAATTCCACTCTTTAACTCTACCATGACCTTTAATTATTCTCTGGCAAAACGGCATCACAACAACTTTGACACACTGTACAATTAGTTGCTAACACATTTTCTAATCGTACACATTCCTCTTTAATTAACATAAAGCTAACAAATGTCCGATGCTTCGATAGAGTAATTTTCTTTATTTTCAGTAATGAATAAATAAAGCAAAATCAATGTCGCGTACAGTTGAAAGGCCTCCTCGCATTCCCCTCGTTGTCCCGGAACCTTCGAGAAAAGAAAAGATACCCAAGGGCAAGTCTCTCTTGCTTCAACCGCCGCCAAGGCCCACAATGTTAACATCGCGCCGATTGTGTTGATCGGCTCGCGAGCGACGATACTTTTTGCCCTTCGTTTGACGTTTGACGAATTTTCCGGGAATAAGAAGTCGGAATTTCGCGCTCGGCATTCACGATCCGTCATCATCCGACTAGTAATCATAGACACTTTATGAATCTGCAATTACTCTCGTATATATAATAATAATAAATTATAATTATAATATTATGTAATTATAATAAAATGTACTTGTAAATTCTCTCTCTATATATACGGTGTAATGTTTTATTTAAGTTTATATAGTATTATAATAAATGATAAACCTTCACTATAGAATATACATATCGAATGTGTATATATTCTACATATTTGATATTTTTTTATTCAAAGATGTTATTCTTATTACAATTGACGAAATGTCAATGATATTTAAAATAAACAACGTTTATTTTCTGGACACGCCAAGTGCTTTCTTGTAGTTCTCAATTTTATTATCTATTGTAACTTTTTGTTATTTAAAAAGTTTTAAAATTGTCGAAAATGTATATTTAATATTTTAAATTTATTATTTTAATTTGAAATTAATTTTTTTATTATATTTATATTTTCATTATTTGTTATTTTATAAATATAATATTTTTTAATTAATTGTATTTTTTTTGGATTTATTTATTATTGTTGCGGGTTGAATCTGAGAGTTAACCCGTTGAACGCCGGGATCGCCCAGATCTTGGGCGCTAGAGCGAGTACGACTGGAGCCGACGGAAATCAGCCAAAAGGAGAGGACCGGTCGGTTCTCTGGACAATAATGTGTTCGAGTCTCCGATTCCGAAGCGTTTATTAGCGTTGACCCAGTACAGCGGCTTGTAGATCGCGAACAATGACGTTGTGTCTCAATAACGAGACGGAGAAAATAATCACGCGCCGGAGCGACGCGTTGTTAAGATTCGACGGTAGCCGAACGGAACTTGAGAATTGAGTTCGACAGCCGGATTCTGCCGAAAATCTATCGTCATGATATTGATCGTGATATTTATAATTTTATATCGCTGATGCGGCTCAAGCCGATTGGCAAATTTGTACACATCGTTGGTTGACTGACACAAAGATCTAGACGGTAAATACATTGTTTTGCCGTTAGTCACGAGACATTAGACTGCCGCACGTTTTTTCTGATGGAAAGAGCGTTATTGTCACCGACATAATGAGACAGTGTAACGCGCCGAGACAATACCAGGCGGCAAGACAAAGATCGACCAAATAATTCGTTTGTAAACATGGGTGATTTGCCCGAGCGGTGACTCGCTGTTACCGGCGTCCAGCACACGCTCCGCGAGAATCCGCTGGACGATTTTAATGAGCACGCAGAACCGCCGATATGATTTTCCAATTCGGAACAATTATAATATATTTTTGTTTTTTTAGAATTATTAAATTAAATTATATAAAAATATAATTAAATTTTAAGAATTATTTTTTAATATCTTTTAGAATATTTTATTTATTTTTAAAAAAAAGTAAAATTAAATATATTTTTAATTATATATATATATATATATATATATATATTAGCACTTGGCTTAACTTATTTGATATCAGATATTTTGTAGAAAATACTTTTTTTGTTGAATTTTTTTTAAAAAGGGTTATTGATACGAGTCGCGTGCACTTGGCGCTTTTTTTAACCTTATTTTAAATAAGGTAAATTTTTTACGGATATAATTCTACCGATCTTTCAGTCGTTTAATCTTGTTTTAAAATTGTACATTATTGTTTCGTACACTATTGTAACCCATTCCACGATATAGATCCCGATATAAATAGCACAAATACATTATACCACATTTCAAATATACTTGTCCCGATTACCATGTTTGTAAACAGTCTCACGGCACTGCGTAGTGATCAGGAGATTTACCGTGCTACCGTGCTCTCCAAGCAACTGCCGAGAATCGGCAGTTGCTCGGAGACTGACTAAAGGAACTGACTAAAGGACTTCTGTTACATCTTGTACGTTTCTCATATACATCGCCGAAACTTTAATTTATCTTCGTTGAATTTATAGTTCTTATCGTCACCAAGTTAATAATTAATAGTACACTTTTACATATATAGTATTTAAATAACATTGCACATATTAATTAATTGATTGTGAATCATCCTATGCATGCAATTTACAATTGTAGAGCCATGTCGAAGAACTTTTACTGGACGAAATGTCACAAAAGGACGAAGCCTAATTTGACCGAGGACAAGGAAAACATACATCAGAGCGAAAATTCCAAGTTCGTCGAAGGTAAGAGCGACATGAAAAAGAAGAGAGGACTATCAGCGGGTGCGGAAAATCGGAGAGATGATGTCACGTGTACGGCGCCGATGCAACAGAAGCTTACCATCCCAAGAAAAGAACAGTTTAAAATTTATCGCGACGAGGATGAGAGATCGCGCCCGCTCGTGCGGAAAAGGAACAGGAAAGAAATGAGAAGAGAGGAGCATTTTCGTTTCTTAACACCTACTGTTTCGTACAGGTGAGACGGACGTTTTCGATAAGTCTGGCCAAAAATTAAAAAGAAATTAAATAAAAGTGTGTTACTCTTTGGAGCAGGACACGTTCTTTGAGCAACAACCGAAATAGAGATCCTTTACGTGAAAACAACAAGTTGCACGGATCTGCAGATCAGAGGTAATTCTATGTTCATACATGTGCACGATATCAAATATTATCATTAGTAATACATCGCATATAGAGTTTCCAATCCCGGATACAATTTAGGATCCCGGGATTTCGGGATTTTTTAGATTCCTTCCCGGGATGCCGGGACCAGTCCCGGGATTATATATATGTAAAGAAAGAAACAAGGAATATTTACAAATAATAGAATTATTTTATTTACAGAACGTTCATAGACTTTTATGAACATTATGACAAACAAAAAGTAAAATTTCAGTAAAAATGAAAGCAACTTACATTAATGATTGCACAAAAACCGTTACAATTAAAAATTAAAGTTTTTATAATAAAAATAAAACTAATTATTTCTTCTTTTTTACATTGAAAAAGCGACTTTAAAAATAATAAAACATTTTGTTAAAAATTTTGTTAAAAATATCTGATCGAGGATCGAGGATCCCGGATTCAAGTCTGTGTTGCGTTCAAGCTTATCCGCGAAATTTAAAATAGAAAACTCCCTTAATATTTAAAACAAATAAAAATAATACATGGAATTAAATTTAAAATATAAATACACACTTCTCTAGCAAATGCTCTAAAACATCAGTAATAAGTAATAATTATTAAAGTAAAATTTTTGTAAAACGTAAGTATTATATAGACACTAAGCATTAAATTTTGAAATCCCAAAATCCCGGGATTTGTGATGTTGAATCTCGAGTATTTTCGGGAACAAAAATTTGGCCGGGATCCCGGGATTGGAAACTCTAATCGCATATTATATACTTGCGGAAAAATTCAAAACTTATTGATTATTTTCGATATCTATCATAATCGGTCGCTTAAACATCAATTTTTTCCCGATATATCATCTAACTTTGCTGTAGGAGAAATGATACAGTCTATATCTATGCGAGACGACTTTTAATCACATGCCGATACTTTATAAACCAAGTTTAAAATTTCCTAAAACGTTCTCTGAAAAGTTTTCTAAAACGAAAGAAAACAAGAAAAGAGATATTGTGATATTTTGGGCTTTCACGGGACGTAGAGAAATGTTTGATTTGTTCTTCGGGTCCCTAAAACTGAATTCCGGATTGTCCCTCTCTCTAGAAAAAGAACATTTTTCTATCTAGAAGAGAACTTCTATCTAAAATCAAACAAAAGCTGTTATATATTAATCGATCATTAATCGAACGTCTTTAGATGCTGTTCCGAGAAGAGAAAGTCCTCATGCGCACAGAGAAACCGGCATCTCTCCAACGATGTGAAGAAACGGACGTTATGCAGTATCCAAACGTGGAAAGACAGGATGAGACAATCGCGCAGTTAGTGTTTTACGAGTTTAATAGACGCTAAAACCCGTCGACAACTCCTTCTTCACACGCTTATCTTTTTAGTCGATGTCGTGTCCAAGAGCTCTTCAACTAGATATACCGTTGCGGTGAGTGCGGATGAAGCGCGTGCCGAATGTAATTCGAAAAACAACATTGACTTTGGCCCCAAAATCTCGCGTCGTGAATTCAATTCAACGCGAAGCGGTGAGTTTACCAACGAAAAATCAAACAATTTGAAGACTGATACGAACGATTACGTCAATAACAAGAAGGATGACATTTTACAAAACATGACCAAGAATACAGCGGTGTCGTATATCTCGAACGAACTTATGGTTCCGCAAACTGCGGCATTTTCGGGTGCACAAGCTGGCACTGATGCGAGGTAAATTATAATGTAATTAAAGATAATTATAATTAAATACAATTTGTATGGAAACAAGCGGAAAGTAGGAATTCTGTCGTCAGCGTTATCAGTCGCGGAGTTTAATTTATTTTCCAAGTATAACAATAATATTGCATTGATATTATAATTTTTTATTTGAACTTGTGAACATTTATAATTGTGTTATGTTGCTTTGTTAAAAGGAAAATTATAACATTGATTTTGGTTCGGAATTATTTCAAACTAAAAGTCATGAGGACATATTGAGTTAATTAAAAGATTCGATTAATATTTTCGGATAATTGACGGTAAATGTATTAGAAGTAACAATCCGTTAATAATGTTCCGCTAACACATCAGCAGAAGATGGCAAAAAATTGTCGTCTTTTGATAGATAATTTGTCTTGGATATATTGAATGTAATAAAGTTAAATTTGACTGAATAATCAAGCCGAATTTTTTGGCTGACTAATTGGAATATACTTTGCCTAATTTGCAAACGTGTTTTTAGCATGTGCGCTTGTGATGACAATCAACAATTTACGGGAGAAATCAATTTTAACTGTGCAACATCTTCGTGTAGTCTTAGGAGACCATCGTTGATTCCAACAAAGGTAGGACGCACAAACTTCTATAAATAGAATGATGAAATAATCTTATTCTCGATACACGTAATTTAATATACTATCTCTAACGTTGGCTGGCTTAATTTAACATGTTTAAATATACAATTCTCAAATTTATAGATTTATAAATAGTTATATGTCTATTACTAATGATAATATTTGATATCGTGCACATGTATGAACATAGAATTACCTCTGATCTGCAGATCCGTGCAACTTGTTGTTTTCACGTAAAGGATCTCTATTTCGGTTGTTGCTCAAAGAACATGTCCTGCTCCAAAGAGTAACACACTTTTATTTAATTTCTTTTTAATTTTTGGCCAGACTTATCGAAAACGTCCGTCTCACCTGTACGAAACAGTAGGTGTTAAGAAACGAAAATGCTCCTCTCTTCTCATTTCTTTCCTGTTCCTTTTCCGCACGAGCGGGAGCGATCTCTCATCCTCGTCGCGATAAATTTTAAACTGTTCTTTTCTTGGGATGGTAAGCTTCTGTTGCATCGGCGCCGTACACGTGACATCATCTCTCCGATTTTCCGCACCCGCTGATAGTCCTCTCTTCTTTTTCATGTCGCTCTTACCTTCGACGAACTTGGAATTTTCGCTCTGATGTATGTTTTCCTTGTCCTCGGTCAAATTAGGCTTCGTCCTTTTGTGACATTTCGTCCAGTAAAAGTTCTTCGACATGGCTCTACAATTGTAAATTGCATGCATAGGATGATTCACAATCAATTAATTAATATGTGCAATGTTATTTAAATACTATATATGTAAAAGTGTACTATTAATTATTAACTTGGTGACGATAAGAACTATAAATTCAACGAAGATAAATTAAAGTTTCGGCGATGTATATGAGAAACGTACAAGATGTAACAGAAGTTCTCATTGTCTTTGACGGTCAATAAATCGCGATGTTGCAACATGACTCTGAAAAGCTGGGTGATAGATATCTTCACTTTGAAATTTCTGGCACCGCGATATTAAACTTCGTTTGTGTTCATTAAACGCTCAAAAGTCGGCGTCTAATTTTAATCACAGGATAGACTGGAACAGACAGTAAACAAGTTTATGGCGATTGTGGAACGCAGCCTTTAAACTGGGTTTGACTCCGCTTAAAGTAAATTGTGGAACCGGGCTTTAATCGAGCTCGTCTAACGCGCGTTCGAGTCTCAGCTAAGAATATATAGAAATCGATAAAGTGTAGTTCGTATTTCGGCTAAGCATTATGAAAGTCGGTAAAGCGTGGTTCGAGTCTCGGCTAAGTGTAATAGAGGTCGATAAAACGTGGTTCGAATCTTGGCTACAAAACTATTTCAATTGACTCTTCTATAAACGTCCAGTCTGCATAATGACGAAGTGAACTGCATATGGAAATAAAATTAATTAATCTTTTGCAGCGCATACTTTATTTTTAGAAATTTTTAAATAACTTTCTAGAAACCTCTCTCTCTCTCTCTCTCTCTCTCTCTCTCTCTCTCTCTCCTTTCAAATCCGATTATCAAACGATCAAAGCAACTGCTTGGTTGGTATCGCGTTGAACGCGCGTGCGTGAGGAAGGAGTTCATTCAGTAACCCTGGCCCTTGACCAATCTGATCGAGTCTGATCGACCCAACAGCCCGGAGCAGACACAACAGCACGGAAGGATGTCGCGTAAGGCGATCAAGGCGATTAATTGGGCTGCGCTCCTCGAGAAAATCCCGGAGACAGAGAAAGCGGCGTATGCCGCCTTCAAGGCTAAGTCTGATCAACATCTGCGACGGTTAGTGCGGGTTGGATGTATGTTGTAGAAAAACCATGATTATATAATGTAGCCGAATATCTCGCTCTTCTCATGAATTGCGAATACGATAACTAGATGCGAGGAATACGCGCGAAGAGACGATATGTCAGATCGGCTGCCTTCCTCAGCGCGACGCTTCGTCGAAGGAAAGCTGGACGTTCGTTTGAGTGTAATCTCTGTTGAAGTAACCTCGCCATACTCTTGTCTCATTTCATACCTGTCAAGATGTCACGTGCAGTCTTTATGCTTGAGAAATAGTCACAGATGTAGAAAGAAGATTTACGATGGCGGATTGCTCTGTGTTAATTTTTATTGTTTGTATCGTAGAATGGCTGCGTACCCTGAGGAATATCCAAAGATTGACTGGGCTTTCTATAAGAAGAACATCTCAATGCCTGGACTAGTGGACAAGTTCCAGAAGGAGTACGAGTCCTTCTCTGTGCCGTATCCAGCGGATAAATATACCTCTCTGATTGAGCAGAAGGAAAAGGAAATAGTAATGCTCGAGTTTTAACCATCAGAGCCTTCGCTTATTGGTTACGTAGATTCGGTCTAACGCAATGTGAATATGTTGCAGCTTGTCGAGATGGAAAAGTTTGTGAAAGAATCCAACAAAAACATTGCCAAAGCCAACAAGGAGATTGAAAAGATACAGAATATGTTACCGTTTGCTGAAATGACGATGGAAGATTTCCGAGATGCTTATCCGGAATTTGCTTTAGATTCAATTAATAAACCGACAATATGGCCGCACATTCCTGAAGTACAGCCAGAGAATGATCCAGGACCACCAAAATTTCATTAGCATCACAACTCATAGCATTCAAAACAGCCAATGTGTGGAATGTAGTCCTGATTTACTTCTAGAATAAGATACAAGACTATGTATGTAATTTGGAGAAGAAATTGTGTATCCCTGTTGCCATGGAATATATTTGGAAGTAAACTAATGTGTCCAGAATGGAAGGGGATTATCCTTTTGTAACACTGCGCTTCTGAATATGTTACAAATGAGTGAGGAAAGAATGCACCATTCGAGTGTATTCGGATGCATGTTTGCAGACAGAGACATTTGCTTAGTCTCAAAACACTTTGTGTGAGATGATCCTGATTAAAATTTTTGCCACTAAATAAACGTATATCATATGCCATATAAATCAAGATGTTTCAATCGGCTGAACTCATTCAATTCGGCTCGATCATGCACTTGTCTATTTTCTGACTTTACAATAACATTTATTTGCACATATGTGTGCACTCAAAAATAAAACGTCGTCGCTGTTTAATAAATTGAAGAGAAATCATGTGGCATGTGGAGTTGAAAATGAATCAACTTCAACCACTGTAGAACGTTGCATCGCACAGAAGACTCTGCTGCGAATTTGTCGTTGGGCAATTAACAAATAATTAGTTGGGTAATGTTATTATTGTTTACGCTACAAAAGCAGAAACAGGGGTTGTAATATTCGAGATCGCTTCTCTTAGTCATTGACTCTCATCAAAGGGGGAATTATTTTTCTGCTGCCTTCTGCGCTGATGTGTTTAGTCTGTTATTTGATTTATTTGATTTATTCTTTATTTGATTTATTCAGTTTTACATTTCGTCGATGCTTGTACAGTTTTCACTTTGAGAGCTCCTATTTTCTCACTGAGCTTGTACCGTGATACCAAAAATGGAAACTGAGGAAATTTCTTTCTTTCGCACTGTATGTTGGAATAAGTTGAAGCTGAATTCAATCTTTCTGTGCGCATTCATCTACACTCGGTCTGTATTGGCTAATGTCAACAGTATAAAACGGCGTGATGAATGAACCAAACAATATCTCGAGACACGAGCGAGAAAGAAATCTTCACAAGCTTTTGCCTCCCGATACAATTTAGTGTAGCTGCAGTCAGAAAAGGCAGGAGCTTCAATTTGTGTTCGTGTATAACAATACAAACGACAAGCGTCGATTAATGACGATAATCACGAGCATGTATCGGGAATTTCTGAATTAATTTGAATTTGTACAACAATACAAACGACAAGTAACCGTCAGTAGTACTAAAACGGAAATCAAGAATGTGACGTGAGATGTACTGCCCAAAGTGCTTGACGCGACGCATGTATTTGTGTGCAGAGGGAACGCACCAAACTAAAGAAAAAAGTCCACCATTTTGCGAGCAACGATAATTGCTTGAAGTATCAATCTAAAAAACAAAATGTAGTGAATAACAGCGATCTGAGATGAAGAAATTGACAGTGAATTTGAACATTTTAGATGAGACTTTTCCCAAGAGATATGCAGGCCTCACGCGTGTTTATTCATTGATTTTCTTTCTTTAATTAATATATTTCCTGTCAATTAATCTCTGATTCCTTGCAAAATGGCCGAGAACTTTTTCGCGCGAGCTCTATACACGCGAATGTTGACATAAAATTTTCTGCAATAGTGTCATTGTGATAAAAAGAACTTTTCAGCAGAAAGAAATTATGCAGTCAAGGTACGTAGATGAGCAAAGTAATCTTTGTCGTTTTAGTACTACATACTGTATGAAAACGATATGTACATAAATATACAAATAAATAAATAAATGTAAGTATGCACAGCTTAAAAAAGATGCCTGTAATATGTGCAAAAAAGATGGTGCGTTTCAATCCGTTATGAATATTCGTCGACGATGTAAAAATCAAGAAGTGTCCCAGATTATCTTCAAATAAAATACATTGGTAATTCTAAACAGAAATTCGCTTCCAACCTCTTCCCCTTTTCCCTATTGTCGCCAGGAGCGTATTGAACTCTGCAAACAGAAAGAGAAGACGCACATAATGTAATGAGCAATCGTGATCAGTGATGACTTCATTTGTACTGCGATCGGTTACTTACCTCGGCGCCAACAATTTGCCACGGGCAGCGGCTTTGTGGGCGTAATAAGTCGGTGCTGGATAGCTCACCGACTGCGTACAACGTGCGTACATGTGACAAAGATAAAACGTCAGCTCTTCAATCTGGTCTTCTGTGAAACTGCTTTCGTTACAGACGCATCTGTATTTTGTGGGCCTCGCTGTACCCTGTGCACACATGCATAACTTGATTACGACTTGTGATGTCGTGGGTAAATTTTATTCAAAATACAATATGTAATTCACGAAACCGATGTGACCGATATGATATACTAGTTTCGTTTCTTCGCCGCGGCCATTTTGGTTGCAAGCGAGATTATCCGCCCTGAAAATTCTTACAAAATACGCTGAAACAAGAAGATATGTTCGCAAAATAACACTTTCGATCAATCTGCAAAATAGCGCAAATACTTTTCTCTCGCTCTAACAATCAATAACCGTCATGCCGTCAAATATGTGACGGAATCATGAGAGAAGATATCGAGCAGGTAAGTCGCGTCCCAAACAGCACGAGACCTCCAGGATATTCCTGAGATATTTTCAAGATACTTAGTTGTGTTATTGTAAATATTTAAATGAGAATTTTAAGTAGCATAAGAATCTTTTCAAGGATAAACGGTAGAAATATAGCCTATTAAATTTGCTGATTTCGAGACACATGTATTTTCCATCTTTTGTTTAAATTATAAATATAAGGAAAAGAAAATATTCGACTCGATCCTGAATCGAATTTAGCAAATTGAATACATTAATGGTTCGATTTCTTTTGGAGTCAGAAGATTTTAGAATTCTAAGAGATTAACATTTTTAAAAGATTCAAAAGTTGTTTCTGAAAATGAAATTGGCTCAAGTTTTTTCTTACATTTATAATTCAAACAGAAAAGACATAACTCAATATAATTCAGAGTCAGCAAATTCAATACACTATTCTTTTTCCTTTTCCTTTAGACGCCTAAGAAATATTCATAACATATCCCATAGAAGTCCTCAGAACATCCGACCAGGATATCTTATAGATGTCTTGAAAACTAATTAATATTCAGCTATCATTTTCTCTTCCTCAGAGTATCCATATCCCGGGATAAATTTGAATTTCCACAGGATATCCGCAATGTTCGTCCTGGATGTCTTTAGGATCCAGAAGATGTCATTGTGTTATCTGCGACCACCTTTTAACTATTTTATAGATTTGCCCGATCGACTGCAAATGTCCTTTTGCGAACGTATCTTTTTTTATTGTACTTTTTATTGTACAAGAATTCTGAGCGTCTTCTCGCTTCTGACATCATCGATCAAGAGATCCGCAACGCAAGCAGCCAAGGATCTTAAACCTTAAAAACTACGGGCATTAGGAAACATTACACGCTATTGAATATTGCTGCAATAACATTTTACCAATGAATGTTTTGCCAACTAGACAATTTATTACCAATAACATTTGACACCAAGACCTTACCCTGATGCTTTTATGTGACACCAGATAAAAGTCAATATGATTCGGATGAGTAATTTCCGTGTCGACTATTGTGCCAGGTTCTACATTCTTTACGTCCATCTTTGGGAGGAATAAGCGTACATGATGCCTCTTCTGAACGATCAAGAAGGTAAGCTCGGGTTGGAAATTAGGGTATTTGAGCTTATTTTGAAAGAACGCCGTTTTAATCTCTCCGATTTCCTTTTCCAAATCCGTTGATATTTGTCCTTCGCTGACTCCATCTCTAAATGTGTGTAAACAGATACACAAGAAGAAGGTGAAAGACGTATCCCAATCTTAATGTCTTTTAATGGGCATTCGGGAAACGAGCTTTTTCGGAAATACACCCGAGAAAGAACCTTGCTTGCGAGAGATTTAGCATAAAACAGCATTACCGATACGCACCGATAAAAGATAATTCTCTTGGGCAGTGTTTTAGTCTTTCGAATGTAATAGTTAATATGCTGCGACATTATTTCCGTAAGATCCTGAATCCTTTCTTGCCTTGCATCTTGTGTTCTAATTGCAACGTTGTATCTAAAAGCTGAGTCGTCGTAACTTGCAACAACCTAAATTATTGCATTCTTCATTAGTCACACGTGTAACTTTCGTTTACATGTTTATATATTTGTACATTGCTTGAAATAATTGGAGGATTACTCCTGCAGATGCTCGTATCACGTCCAAGTCAGAACCCAGTCAGAAACCGTAACGTTGATTCGATGTTGATTTGACGTTGAAATGGTTAATGAACCGCGAAATCAACGTTAATGCAACCCTCATCGACGTCGAATCAACGTTGTGGTTCTGACTAGGTTAAAAAAAGATTGCTTTTTCATTCCTTCGAGCGGTATATGAAAGAAGAGTGATATTCTATATAAATGTAGTCACCGCAGCTATAGAGCAAGTATCTGCACTGGCCTCGGGAGCTGGATGGCTCACATCTGCACCAACGATCATGCAGCTTGTGTTCTTCATACAGTATGGTCTGAAAGAACACAAGACGATTTTGAACAAGATGATCGGGAAGCTTCGAATTAAATGAAAACATAAATATATATACATAGTTTACTCACATTCTATTAAAGACGTAGTTAAGACCGTTTAATTTTGCGTTTACTTTTATAAGAATATTGCGTACCGTTGATGGCTTAAGCCTAGTTATGTTGTTCAACTTTACACATTGCGTCAATACACTACTTACTAATTCGCTACACCTTTTCACTTCGGCTGATACATGTAAAATTTTAGATTAACTTGGGAGAATGAAGCAAAAGATTAAAAAGAATCACGCACTTACCGTATACTTCATCTCCTTTATTTGGTATGATAGCTATTATCAATCTCATATTCTTGTTGTTCCTGAAGTACTCCTCAAGTTTATACATATTTACGCACCTATTGTGCCCGTTCCATCGTTCCTGTCCGATATTCATGCCAATCTCTCGTCCTGAAAAGATAAAAAGAAATTCGAGCTAATTGAGATAACGTAAGACAAACGTAACGCAACATATTGCCCAGCAAATAAAATATTACATATAATACACCTGTTAGTGATAATTTCCTACTTAATAACGTAACTATTATATAACGCACATGTTATATAACAGTTACATTGTTGAGTAAGAAATTACAACTAACAGATATGTTACATGTTACATTGTGTTTGTCGGGTGTAATGTAACTTAAGGTTACAAGAATTATCACGTATATCTGAGTTACACTATTTCCGATTTAAAAAATTATTATATATTATATTTTCTTGTCGAATTGTAAACTTATGCCACAGTACATTTTACTTCTAAACAAATTGCAACAATTAGCGCTTCAACTTATACAGGGAGGGAAAAAAGGTCGGACCTCCCCGAATAACCTTGAAAATATGCAAGATAGAAAAAAATGTTAAATATAGAAATTGTAGTGTTTTAAGTGGCGCATCACATAGCAATACTATTATGAACAGCGTCATCAAAGCTATGGGAAAGTCACCTTGAATTTTTTTAATGAAAATCTCTATTTTTTATTACTTTTGTCTGGAAACTTGGTTTTCATGTACCTAATACTTTTTTTTAATATTTAAGAAAAACTTGGTAACTTTTTCAATATTTGATTTACGATATCTCGGCAACTATTCGTCCGAAAAAAAGTAATACCAGACTTTTTTACTGTATTTGGTCTCAAGAATATACTGTTACAATAGAGCCTTAACTTTTGTTGATATGATGATTTTAATATTTCCAAAGGTCATCAAGTTAACAAAAGTTAGGTCACTATTGTAATAGCATATTCTTGAGGCTAAACAGAATAAAAAAGACTAGTACCATTTTTTCTTCCGACAAATAAATATCGTAAACCAATATATCGGAAAAGTTACCAAGTTTTAAGTATATAAAAAAATATTAAGCAAATAAAAAACTGTTTCAGCCAAAAGCTGTTTAAATTAATCCGTAGAAAAAGATGATACATAAAAAGAGGGGGTTTCTATTAACGATCTTAAAATTGACTTTGATTTGATCTCTAAATTTGATCCCTAAATCAAGTTCAAGTTCACCACTAAATGTCCATTTCTGAGCCTTGAAATTTTTAACATTCAACATGTTTTTCTATCTTGCATATTTTCGAAGTTATTCAGGGGATCTGATCCGTTTTTCTTAACTTATAAAACAAGCATCTCAAAGTAAAACGACTATATTTTTCATATACTTAACCGTTATCGCGTAAGTTCTGGATAAAATTTTGTACGTAGTGTTCTTGAATTTTCTGGTTAACGATAGTGATGATAGTCCATGAATTATTCTCCAAGTTCCTGGCTTCTCTTAAATCACGGCATATCCATTTTCCTTCTCCCACATTTGACAGCTGTACTTTATATTGGAGTGATGGAGTCGACAAAATTCTAGCATCGACTTTTTTCATTTCGGTACTGACTTTGACATTAAACTCATTTCTCAAAACAGGACTTTTATTTATATTAATCTCATTCAACTATAAACGTATAACACAATAAATAACAATTAATAATATATTTATCACAAAATAATACAAAATATACTTTACCACTTCATGAATTTTGTTTCTATGCTTATCAGGAGACATCACTGTTTCTTTGATCATATCACTTCTTTGAGAATCGTCCAATTTTTTCTTAAACGGTTGATTAACCGCAATTTGGCAATACTGTAAATAATTAAACAAATTTGCAATCGGTTTATTATTTGGTCGGCTTTAGCGAATATACGGTGATTTGCTCACCTCTGCAGGCAAATAAATCTCCAATTCTCTCTTGCCCACTTGAAGGCAAGGCAACCAAGGATGTTGCAGTAAACAGTTCTTGTAACGTTTGAAATATTCTACTATTGTGCACTTTTCATTTTTATTCTTTAATTCAATTTTTTTGTGTGCATTGTCGCTCAATTGAAGCACGAGATACGTCCGTTTGGAGCTCGGTGCGTTAGGTAGCTTATAAATCACTTTTAAACCAGCCAGATGTTTGTTAATTTGCTCCTTATTATCCCAAACAAAGTTTGCTAAATCTTTTGAAGAAGGCTGCTGTGGAAGAAACTGCCTTTTTTTCGATTCGTATAAATTCGTATGAGTTCCCGTTTGCGATTTGTAGAATTCCATGAATAGATCAATAATATTCTGAGGCATAACAAACGCTTTATGACTGACTAAACAAAAACATGTAAACAAAAAATATTAAACAGGCGATATGAAATGTAAATGCCAGCCATCGGTAACATAATATCAATGTTACTAATTTTTCACTCAGCAATGTAAGTATGATATAACGCATGTGTTATATCATATGACAGTACACATGGTCGAATGGGAAATTATAACATTGACGTAATATCACTATTAGTTGATGTTTACCCGTGTTTACATACATATGTGCACATGAGTGTATTACACAGATGTATGTATGTATTACACAGATTCTTTTATTTCGATTACACTATTCCATAGCGATAAATTCTCTTCCATATAAACTGAAGACGCGACTATTCCTTAGCGAAAATGTCGAATGAGATATGTTTGGTTCGTCTATTTATTGTGAGAAAAACTGCGAGAATGCGGAATTGCAAAATGTTTCTTGTGAGACGTAAATATTTTCCCTTGACTTTCATCAAAACCGAGAAAAGAGATTGCATTTTTACAAAGAAAAGAAAAATTGACAAGAACGATCGCAAAATCGTGGGCTACCTCATAATTTCGTTTGAATGAAAAGATAATATAATATAAATAATATCAATTAATATGATGATACTTTACCATCTACATTTAGAAGAGGTTTCCAGCAAATTTGAGCAGATAAGAATGTACCCGTACGCACTTCTAAAACTTTTCCTCCTGATCCTCCTTCTTTCTTTTTTCTTGCTGCACCATTTCCGTTTTCTGTTTTTGGGAAAAGCGATCTCCCAATCTATACATATGATAAATATTTGTATTGTCCTATCACATATTTGTTATGAAATCGAAACAGACATCACGTTAAACGTATATTTCATTACAAATACTGATATTTTATCGGGTATATATTAAAACGTAGAAAAAATACGCTCATATAAATGCAAACAAAAATAATACAATAAAAACTTATAAATCATGTGACTTACGGTTAGAAATCTCGACGACGCCTCATGACGTAAGATAATGTCCAAAACTTGTATAGAGTTTTGTTTCAGTAATTCTTCACTAATACCAGGTCTCATATTCGTCATCCAGCCCATATCGATTATAGCTACTTGATTTAAGTAAATTGTAAACTCTTTCTCCCCTCGTTCTGGATCAATGATTTTAATTGTATCGGAATGCTATATGGAATAGTAAAAAACGTTTGAGGAATTAGGAATACGGTATGTCCAAAAGCTGAAGCAATATTTTTGGCTTAATTCGGAAATTAAAAATTAATCAATAACTTTTCATGGAATTTGGAACTCGTAAGTCTTAAGTATGATAAATTATATCGCAATTACTGTATAACATATCCAATATACAACATACGAAATAAGTCATCTAATATACAATTTTAATATTCTACTATTTCGTTGTATTTAATGATAATGTTTGAACGAAAACTATCGCCGCGAATAATTACTAAATGGCTTTCGCAAACTATTTTTAATTTGATTGCCCGAGAGCCAATAGATAAATAAATATTTGTAAGTGGCAAAGAGAACATGTTTAAAATAAAATATAATTGTCTCAAACGTTGGCGAACATTAAAGAAATTATGCGATAGGAATATTCTGAATTATAATGATAAATGATTCGCGTTTCACATATATATTTGACTACTCACTATTTCTTCAGTAAAAAGTTTACGTGTGGCGTACGCATTTGCCATTCCATCGTATGCTGGGTTTCTTCTAGAAAAATTGCGTTCTCTATATTTTTCAAAAATTTCCCTACGTAAAGCTTTCGACTTGACTTCACGCTTTTCTTTCTCGCTTTCTTTCTCACTTTCTTTCTCACTTTCTTTCTTGCTTTTTTTTTCGCTTGACTTTGCTTTTGTCTTAGCCGAGGATAGAGATTCAATTTTTACATCATAATGAATAACTTTGGTAAGAAAATTTGGATCAAATATGATATCAAACATATTTGTTATAACTTGAATCTTTCTTCCTGCAGTTCCACCTTTGTTAGGATCTCGCCTCATATGGAAATGTTTAGTCTCCATTTGCTTTGATGTATCGCTTGCACCAGGTTGTGGCATGTCTTTAGGTACATTAGAAATTGAAAGCGATTTAACCGAAGGAATTTCTTGCTGCGTATTATCTTTCACAATTACATTTTCATTATTGAGTTCTATCGGTACAGGCTGTTTCTCTTGATGGATGCTACTACCTACAAAAATATAAAGGTACGATTAAACACACGTAACAATATCTGTACAACATTCAAATATACAGAGTGTCCTACAATATTTTACAATATAATTTAATGACGCGTTTTGGAATTAATTTGGAAGTAGAAATACGAGAATGCCGTAGGAGATTGTTATTTATCGTAATATTTAAATTTTTAATGTTGTGTTTTATTATAATCAAGTTTTCAATCAAAATCCTATTTAAATATATTTGCGTAATGTTAGTACCAGTATACTGAAAACTATAATTTTGTCATTCATTCGATTTTCTGAGGTTTTCATTAAATTGGATTCTTTAATTAATTTAATAAAAAAGATGATCTCCTTTATCAGCTCATTATTTGGAAAGCAATGGCATCTTACTATGTTTGTATTAAAATTTCCGACACCAATCATATATACGCTGTTAAAAGATATCGTACGATCTGCCGTATGCCATACGATAGTTTTGGCCGTTCTGCATGCAGGAATAATTCAAAATTGCGAAAAACATGTTCCGACATATTATAAATTTTTTCTTAAACGCATACGCTGGGAGGACACTTTACTTGAGGCTTCCTGTCGCTCCGGTGATTGCTGTTGTTGCGGAACATCGTATTCACTTATATTGTCCCATATTCCCTTAATACTGGCTAAATTTTTTGTTTGAAGTCCATCTTGAATTCCTTGCTCACGTGGGCTTCGAGATTTTTGCATTGGTTCTACTTGATATCTCTGTTTTTGCTGCTTAGGCTGATATGAATTTGTACGCCATTGTAACTAAAATATAAAATTATTATATATCTCATTGTTAATGTAAAGTATCCTCTTGATTAATGATGACTTAATTCAAAAAAATTAATAAAGAATCACATTTGACACGACAAATTTATGACGACGCCTGCCGTTGTGCCCGTGTAGTTTATCTCAACCTGAACACAAGAAAGAACGTTACTTCTTTATTCTCCTGCTGTCGTCATTCGCCAACCTTCTTGAATCAAAAACTCAAGATTCTACGTTTGCAAAATAGTGGAGGATTTTCATGTTCAGTTTGACTGAATAAAAAATTTATATATGATCATATAATTCTTTATATATAGGATGTACCGGAAATACGAGTATCTCGATTAACTTGAAGGAATAACGTTTTTGAAAAAATATCAAATACAAAAGGGTTACTTGGAATGATCAACTTGGATTTGATCTAGGGAACAAATTTGGAGGTCAAATCGACTATAAAATCGTAAATGGAAACTGCCATTTTTTATTATGCCGTTTTCTTCTACCAATTAATTCGAACAACTTTTGTCTGAAATGTTTTTTTCTTTGCCTAATATTTCTTGAGATATTTAAGGAAAACGTAGTTACATTTTTCAATATTTAGCTTATCTCGGCAGCTATTTGTCGGGAAAAGAAATGGCACTAAACTTTTTTATTCAGTTGACGATTTTGAAATTTTGAAGCGGTCATCACATTACGACATTTTTTTTTCAAAAATGTCATTCCTTTAAGTTAAGTCCGAAGTACTCATCTTTCAGCTACACCCTATATAATTATAATATTGTAAAATTATAATATAATACATATAATAAACTTTTCCCGGATAAATGCACTTGAATGGTTACGAAACCACAGACTATTTATTACCATGTTATACCAAGTCTATATAAAACCAGTTATTTTAAAAAAATATAACAGAGTTTATTAACAAATAGAACTGTTCAATATTCCGTACACTTCTGTTAGCAAGCTGTTGGCAAAAATCTACAATAGACACACTCCAAGCACAGCACAAAGTTGCAGCAATATTGCTGCAACATTGCAAAAATGGTGCAATGTTGCTGCAACTTCCTGTACTGTATGGGACTCTACAATATCGGCTTCTGCTAATTTTGGATGTTTCGAGAAGTACCTGTTGTTGAGACATTGTTGCATGCACTTGCGACGATGAAGGACCCGCTACTTGTTGGTCATAATATTGCTGTTGTTCATTATGTCCATATAGACATTGTCCATGCTGATGTTGCTTGTACTGTGGTGGTGATTTGTGTGGTTTATATTGTTGCGACCTATAAGACTGTAATCCACGTGGCTGCGGTTCATACTGTGCTCCAAATGGCTGTGCTTGAGGATAGCCCCAGGAACTCGCACCTGCGCGAACAGATTCTAAGTAGAGCCTATAAATTTTTCACGCCGCAAAAGCGACAAATCTGACACCGGATCTGTTCCATCAGATTATCTTGTCAAACTGTCGCCAGAAATGTGACAGAGCCTGCAGAGATAGGTAATGCGAGCGGATTTACGGCAGAAACCGCGCGGAGTGACGGTTTGACGGTAGATTGACGACGAAAATCGAGCAGACCTTGCTGCATGCAGTTTGGCAGCAAAAACTGTGGTCGCTAACGCCAATTCGCCATGAGATCACGTCAACAGGCTCTGTCGGTGAGCTGAATACGAGCACACGTGGCTATGATGTCGGTGCGGGATATTGATGAAACTTGTAGCCAATCTGCGCTCAATTTGCTTACCGAGTTGGTTGTATCCGGGTTGGCGATATGCAAAGCCTCGTAGTGACTGACATAAGCCATATTTTGGTGGATGATGCTGCTGCTCCAATGAATGATATAGCTCTATTTGCTGCGGCGTATACTGCTGCGACTGTAATCCATATTGCGGCGTATATTGCTGTGATCTATACGGCTGTACTCCATATTGCTGTGACTCCTGCGGCAGAGACTCAAATTGTAATTCATACGGTTGCGACGTATACTCTTGTGACCCATGCGGTTGTGGTTCATATTGCTGTGACGTCTGCGGCAGAGACCCAAACTGTAATCCGTACGATTGCGACGTATATTGTTGTGACCCATGCGGCTGTGGTTCATATTGCTGTGACGTCTGCGGCGAAGACTCAAGCTGTAATTCGTACGGTTGCGACGTATACTGTTGTGACCCATGCGGTTGTGGAGTATACTGTTGTGACCCATGCGGTTGTGGAGTATACTGTTGTGACCCATGCGGTTGTGGAATATTTGTATCGTCGCTTTGATCATAAGTCTGATACTCAGGTCGATTTCGATAAGGATGTCCTGGTGGAAAATGTACATTTTCTTATTAAATTTAAGAGATTCTCGGAACTTTTTATATTTGATCGATCATGAAGAAAATTCAAAGAAATCATTCTGAATTCATCGAGGTTTCATAAACTTTTCGCAGGTTTGAGTAATTTAATGTGTGTATTTTTGTAACTGAGTTTAAAGTTGAGGAGAGTTATATACTTGGGTGTCCGGCGTCTTTTGGAAGCGAAATATCGTGAGGATTAATCAGATCAAACTAAGAAGAAAGTACGATTTTCATGTACCATTTTGCAAAAATCGCAATAGTTATTAATTGAATTAGTTAGTGATTGAAAATGATGCAATTTAGAGGCTCTTTTAATTGATAATTTAAAAATTTGCCTACTTATTTGCAAAATAGTAAAGGACTTTCCTTCTCAGTTTGATCTGATTAATCTTCACAATTTTTCGTTTCCAAAAGGACACTCTGTATACAAGATTAATTTAGTTAAGATAAAAGTCGCTTGAACGAAAACTTATTTAATTAAAAGCCAAGATAAAAACCTAAATTAAAACTTTTCAAAGTCGAAAGTTAATGAAGCTAGAGTTGATAGCATATTAAGTTAAATTCAATAACAGATTGCTAACTTGTAATTAAGATTTATATATTTAATGTAATTTCTGAATTCCACGCGGTCGAACGTTCGTGATTCGGTAGGATATTATCAAGGTAAATCGTGTCTGCTTTGTTGTCCAACGAAGGAGAGAAACCTTGAACATTTATTTACAATTTAGATGACACTATTGTTGGCGTACAATAGCACGTTGACATTGACTTAAACATCAATCTCAGGAATACAAAGGAACAAACGGTAATAAATCTCTTATAATTTAAATTTGCAAACTTTGATACAGAAAGAGAAAGAGAGAGAGAGAAAGAGAGAGAGGGGGGCGGGGGGGGGAGGAGAGAGAGAGAGAGAGAGAGAGAGAGAGAGAGAGAGAGAGAGAGAGAGGGAGAAAGAGAGTGAGGGAGAGGGAGAGAGAGGGAGAGAGAGGGAGAGAGAGAGAGAAATACAATGTAACCTTTTTTTATAAACTGATTCGCTTGCTAAACAATATCCAAAGCGACGAGTCTGCTTTTATTCTGTTTGTTATTCCAATCGTTTCGGCTACGTATAATAAAATAACGATGAAGAAGAAAATTGTTAAAGATTGGACCGATCCCTAACAGCACAGATGTCCAGAGGACGTCCAAAGTACGTTTTAAGGACATCCTGGGGACATTTCTTCATCTTCAGAACGTCCATAAGACGTCCCCAGTGGTGCGATTCTGTAACTCATTATTGGAGTTAACGACACTTTCGTTATCGTTGCGCAGCTTTTCTACGGTACACAAAAGCTGCGCAACGATAACAAAAATGTCGTTAACTCCAATAACGAGTTACAGAATCGCTGCACAGGAGATCATGTGCTGTCTGGGATCGGAAGAAATTTGCGAATAGATGTAAGCAGACGACGCGCAAATGCCTCCAACTCGGAAGAAATCAAGCGAATCATACGAAGATCGCTGCATTATTGTTGATTATCATTTATCAATACAAAATAACAATGACAAACTTCGTAAAAATCTACAAGGAGGCACTTGCTGCTCGTAGCTATAGAAAATTCGAATCTGTGTTCATTTGTTCCCTCGGGGGACATTTCAAGTTACATTACAAGAATATTGTTGTTATGATTAATTACCAAATGTATTGACTGTTAAATGCAATTAATCGCTAAATATTATCAAATGTCGATCCTTCACATATCGCTGCAGTATCGGTTTCGCGTGAAAGTGAAGACGATATGCTTTCCGTAACCTATTCAAGGATAAACTCACATCCTTCAAAATTGGAGAAGAAATTGATTTGATTTCTAAGTGATAGAAAAATATGACATCTGTCGATGGCTTGACGAAATTTCTGTCTTTTGTAAAATTTTGTGACGAATATCTATTCGGAGCAATATATATATATATATATATATATTTGTCAACAACGCGTATTTAAATAAAAAAAAATTAAACATATCTATTAATGTTTATTAGTATCCTTGTAAAGATTAATCATCCTGCGTATTTCGATTGGACTTTGCGAACGCGTTCGATCGTTCTAAATCGTGCTTGACTGTACCTGATGACATTATTGCTTCAAATGTATTAACAATTGAGAGAAAGAAAGAGAAAGATAGAAGCGATACTTTGGGCCTCACAAATTCACACGAATATGTTGAAGTCACAGAAAGTTACACTCGTTAGCGCTATATTTCGCGGCACTCGACTGTCTTACTTCGTGGTGATTCTTTTATACCGTCGAGAACTATCGAGAAATTCCTTAGAACACAAAAAAGTAATATAAGGAAACGTAAATAGTGAGATTTGGGTAGCGAGCGAGTCGACCAATTACACTCGAGCATTTGAACATTGAATGTCGCGTTCTGGATTAAACTCTCGCACATGTTTGGTCGATTTGCTACTTAAAGACGATTTCCATCAAGCTCTGACCAATCTAATTTTAAATTGCTAATTTCAAATTGCTGGATAAACACTGTTAACGTTTTCGTTATTGTTGAATGAGATAAATTATGCAAATGGAAATCGGTGTTGACAATCTTGTAATTTGATTAACTTAATTGAAGTTTGATAAGAAAAAATTTGTTTTTCATTGGAAGAATTTTGCATCGAACAAGACAGATGAGTTCCGAAATTCACGCAAAATACAGTAGACTTTTGGGTTGATCGACAAGAATCTACAGAATGTCTGACAATTAATTTTTCGATCATAATAATTAATTCTTAAAAATCTTCTAAAATTTACGCGCATACACAACGCAGACAATACAAACTTAAAATTACTTTTGTCAGTTTTCAACTTTTTGTCTCTTCTTCTATCGCCTTATAATTAGCAACGCTTAAAGCTCGTAACGTGATTGCAAGAAACATTTCGAGCAATTTCCAATTTCGTATACATATTTTGACACAAAAAATATTTAAAAAAAATCATGCAATCATACAGGGTGTCCCATTTTAAATGAGCCATGCAAAAATTTCGCAAGATATGAAAGATATTAAGAAACGTTTCAGATAAAAGTTGTTCAAATTAATCGGTAGACGAAGATGATATAATAAAAAATTGGGATTTCCATTGAAGAAAAGTAATAATCGATGAATATCTCGAAAGTGACGCCATTTGTAGACAAAATGATATAATTGTTTCAGATGTCCTTTGAAACCATACAACTTTTGTCTGAAACGTTTTTGGTATCTTCCATATTTTTCGAGATTTCTACGTGGCTCATTTAAAAAGAGGCACCCTATATTGAGTAGTGCGTATTTCTTCATAACATTTTTATAACTATATAATACTAATGTATACGTATATCCGTTGTAATATAAATAATGTTGAATATTTTAATCGTTATTAGCATCGCACGATGTTTAATTTGAACTTAATATGTTAATGTATTCGAAGATTTAATATTTAATACGTACTTTTATTTTTCCTGCTTCTCCCCCCCCCCCGCTCTTGTTAGACCATGGACATAATTTGGCATAGAGATGGCAACTGTGATTGCAGCACGGACATAAACTGCTTGAAAGTGGGTGTAGTATGGACTTCCATCACACGCAGATTTTACCACCGAGACCTAAAAATGGATGTAACATCGTAGTTTCCCTCTCAAAATGGATGCAGATGGCGTCCTTTTCCAGTGCGGAATGTCGGTGTCGCAGAAATGCCGTGTTGGCCGCTTTCAGGTTTCTCTCTGTTCTGTCCAATCGCACCAGTTCCAGAAAATTTTTCAAAAAGGAGCAGCCCTTCAAAGCCCATTACATTAGTCTCAAGTCGCAAAGTCTGAAGCAAATTGACCAATCACAGTCGATTATTACAAAAATAATCGGCTATAATTGGTCAGTTCTTACGGATTACAGTTTACAGTTTACATATTGTAGACCAGGCCTTAATGTAGAATGAGCTGAAGACGCGCGTCGGCCGGAAATTCGAGGAAGCGGATTCTCCGATTGGGTGTTGCGGAGCGCAACACGAGAATCCCGCAATCCGCATTTCCGAGCGACGAAACTCCCTAGGAACGCTGCACGGCGCCATGCACGCCGCGATGGAGGGGTAGAAATCCAACCTACTGGTGAATGTGTCCGTCTCATAACCTCTGAAATTCGCATTTTGTGGTTACTACGTTTCGCAGAAGGCGCTACGGAAGACGATTTTGCGGCTCGGCACGAGATTCACCACGACTGACTACGTACCCGCTCCAAATTTCTTCGAGATTGGTGAGAAGCGACTTATCCCACGTATTTTGCTGCATAGCCTCGGGGGCGAGGAGGAGGGTAAAGTTATCAGCAACAGATGCTGTTTACGCGCGAGATGCGTCGACATCGTTTATCGAGGATGCTACGCGCGAATATCTCTTTGTTCGCCACGACCGGTGCACCATGTGCTGTCACGACGCTAACAATCCTTGGCGAAGTCAATGCTAAAAGCTGACTGTTCGAGTGCGTGTAATCTCGCTTTATCACTAGGCAAGAGGAATATCGAAATTAACGATTTAACAGATTGCTTCTCGCAACGTCTTATCAGCTTTTTTGTAACTCTTGAGATACTTGTTTGATCCTGCAGTAGGATAGTACTCATTAGCGGAGCAGTCTAGATTCTAGATGACTCAATATTAAGCAACGCTTAAATTGGAATATAATTAAAAGTGTCGATCGCGCGATATAATGCACAACTTATTGGGTCTGTCTGCCGTATCACTTCTGTGTTTAAATGATACAATTTTCTATTTATTACATCTTGATGCAACAAGCATCTCGACTTGTTTGCAGGTAACTACAGGTTACATCCATAAAGTGTAGGTCATGCAGACCACTTGCACAGTAATGTAATGAATAGCTGTGGGAACTCTAATACTGGCACCAGGCTACGTGGATCCAAGTACGCTGAGGGTCAAGAGGAATCAATAAACCAAGGAGGGGGGCTAAACAAAGAAGATAACAGCGTGATAAGTGGTTACAGTGTGAATGATTTTAATGTACCACGCAACACCCTGGTTATTTGCCAACGAACTTCCAACTATTCGTCAGATCACGGCTATAGCAGATTTAAACCAAGGTTCCTGTTAATTAACTCTGGTCACATTGCAGAATTGCTAATTGCAGTCGATTAATAATAATGATGCAAAACTGTCCCCTGTAGACTCAGCGGCGTACCACGAAATGAATTTCGAATGGCGCGTGGTGGCAGCAATGCAGACCGTGCCAGAGGTGGAGCACGTGGTGGGAGGGCTTTCAAGAAGACCCTCAACGATCGCGATTCAAACTCAGAGCCTGGCTATCTCTCTTCATCTAGACCCAAGTTTCAAGAATCGCTGAAAAATCAAGAGAATTCACAGGGCAAATATTACGATGATAAAAGAATAAATGGTAAGACCTGGTCTGGTTCCCATGCTGCGTGCATTGTGGAGTTATTTCCACTTCATGACTATACCAGTTCAATTCTTCAGGAAGAGAAATATCCTAAAGCTTGCAAATTTCTACAATGAGAGTTTCAGATTCAGTTTTTTAGAAGTAAACTGGAGTGTTCACGAATTGTCGGAAAAAATGCACGATAGACGCGGTGCCGAGTTGAGAACCGGAAAAATGGAGCATTTGTCTACATCGTGAAAGTCTAAAATGTTAAAATAAACCACTCGAGCGTTGGACAATCCGGCGATTTCAATATTAACGGAATCGTTCACTTTATTGTTTCCAGAGGACTCGAGAATTTCCAAGCTATTGCGCCGACTGTGCCGCGAAGATGATTACGATCACTTCATAGTACTTTGCAACCAAGTACAGGAAGGTATCACAGCACCCGAGAATCAACGATACATACGACGGAACTTAGAGTTTATATGCGACAGTCTGTTAGATATTTTGCACTCCGGCCCTGGTCAGGAAGCGAAGCAACAGATTGCAAAATGTTTGGGTCGAATCGGATATGTGGTAGATCAAGATTTTAAGAGGCACGTGCTGAGCAAGCTCTTTATATAAGAAACATATTTTGTAACTATGCATATATTTAACGGCATCTTAATGGCCGGCTAAAGTTAATAGAAGTTGTTGACGATTCCAGTTATATGGACTGGACCTTCAACAAGTATTCCTTGGAACACAAAGATGACGTAAAATGCCTACTGATGAAGTCACTTATCGAAATACTCAAGATGGATTCGGAGACATCGAAATTGAAAGACCTCTCCGTGGTGAGTGACATCTCTAATCTTCCTAGATTCGATGCTGTTTGGAGACCATAGATGACCGTGACTAGAAATCGGAGTAAAGGACAAAACAAGCACTAAAGATATTCCACTTGTCTAAAAATTGATGTTCTCGCAGACTGAGACTGTCGACCTTTGATTCTAAATTCTCTCATCGATAAAAGTGACTCGCGAGTCTTCTGATTGGCTGTAAGCAACGCTGCGCTTAGATTATTTTAAAATTAGCTAGATAAAGATAAAATGAAAATTTCTCTCTGCACTTTGTCCCGATCATAAACGAATCCCAATGCAATCCACGTGTAACGCAAAAATTTACAACGCAGAAACGAGTGTTTCAGTATTTTTTATCTTTGCAGCAAACTAAACGTCATCTTACATAATTTTGTAAAGATAACGCTGTCCTTAATTTAAGATGCATACGAAGATAACATACATATTTACACATCGTACAGATAAAAGTAGGTTGGTGCCGGAACTTTATCTGACTGATGTATAATTTTATCTGGATAACAATAAACACCGGCTATAAATCACTTTTGTCGATAAAAGGAAAGTCCAGAATAGCGATTTTATCTATCAGGAAGTGACGTCAGTCGAGGAAGATCTTTCTCTTCTGTTATAACAATAATGAGAAATACGTATTAATTATATGCGCTCTCGTTACGCAGCCAATGATGTCCCAATTGCAATCGATACTGGAGAACGTCGACAGGCCGGATTTGCTGGTGGCGACGGTGGACGCTATACTGCTCATCATAGATGCCTATCCGGCAACGTTCACGAATCACTTCCGCGACACGGTGGACATCCTCGTGGGCTGGCACATCGACTCCACGCAGCAGAAGTCGGTTGTCGCTTACGCCAGCCGATGCTTGCAGAAGTTACGGACGTTCTGGATAGCGGACCTGCAGTTCACACTGACGTTGCTGGGTCAATTCCTGGAGGACATGGAGAGTTACGACGAGGAGTTGAGTTTACCCGACTCCGGCCGTAGCTCGCCCGGCGACGATGGCAGCCCGATGCCGAGAGACTGTATCCTGCGCATCACTTCGTTGATCTCCGTTTTCAACACGGTCACTAAGAGCATATCCGAGCACTTGAATCCAAACGTCACACCCAGCGTGCAGTGGTCCTTCCTGACAGACTGCCTGTCGAAGATGCTGAAAACGGTCATCAAGGCGATCGAGCTGGAGGAAGAGAACGATGTCTGGTCCAAGGGCGTGCCTGACAACGCCGAGAGCTTGATCAAGTGCATAAGGGACGCGAGTTCGTCGCAACAACACACCGAGCTGCTGTCCAAGCACTTCAGCAAGGACGAGATCACCGAGGAGAATCTCATCAAGATGATCAAGTCTATGACAATAAATAAGAATGATAAGAGAAACTCGACGATACCTTCCGACAAGGACGTCGTGTCCAAGGAGAAGGGACAGTTGCTGATGAACTTGCTGCGTTCGATGGAGCGAAAAACGAGGCAGATCGAGGAGCTGTCGGAGGAGAAGGAGGAGCTGATTGTAGTCGCGAACGAGTGCGCCTTCTTGCTCCTCGGCTACCTTCAGAGCCGCATCACCAAGAACCACGAGCTCCTCTACAAGTTCGTAGACCTACAGTTGCAGAGAGTCGACATCTTCTGGGACGATACCATCATCTCGATGTTGACCACCATATCGAAGATCATCAAGGAGGTGTCCGCGAACTTGCCGTTGGAGCTGGTGCACAAGCTGCTCGGCAAGAACTCGATGCTGCTGAAGTTGCGGTTCCGGAACTCCATTTCCATTCAGAACGCGAGTCTCGGGGTATACCACAGCCTGCTCAGTCTGAAGAACATCCCGTTGCTGCAGGAATCGTACCGTTACATACTGGCCGAGCTAGAGATCGCTTACCGGCTCATATTGCCGGATATGGACAGTTTGGTCGCGGACAACCCGCTCAACGACTTGAGATACGTGAAGAGCGACGTCGTCATCGTCGTCACGTTCATATTGCGCGCCCTTTCAGACATAGGTGAGCGAATATATTTAACCTTGAGAACCGCAATATCTAATATTTCAAAGTTTTTGTAAAGCTTTAGTTTGAAGCTCACCAGTTTGAACAGGGTGACCCCAAAGACCTTTGAATGCTCAACTTTAGAAATATCGAAGTACCAGAAATGTCACAAAACGCAATGTTACATCTTCGTAAGTCAAGAAGTTAAATTCTAACACCCTATCTTTTTCTCTTTCAGCCAACGCGAGTAACTCGATCATCGGAATGTGGGCTTTGAAGCCCAGCATCCTGGAACTTCTCGCGGTCAAGCTGAGACCCTACGACACCACGTTGTCCACGAGCAATTCGTTCTTGCAATACAGCATCTTGTACCTGCTTTACGCGCACTGTTCCAGGTAGAGCGAAATTTCTTGAGCCGCATATTCTCGTATTACGTTCAAATTTACGTTCTAATTCACGTTCATTCTAATGAGGGAATAAAATGGCAAGTGATATGTTGCTCGTAACTTTGTTATCGTCACTTTTTTCGGTAGTTTTTTTTCGGTAACTGACAAAGTAACGTTTTGCATGTTGATCTTTTGGTCGTCGGGTTCAGCAAGCATGAACTGTCCTGGCTTGTCGCAGGTACAACCACTTCGTTCCAAGTTCCAACTTGATAATGGGCACCACCGCCTGCCGCCAAATCGATATGTTCCCCGGGACTTTGGACGTGCCGACCACGTCGCCGACTAGCGGCCACTTATCCATCATTCTCAACCTGCTCGCGAAGACCTACAACAGGAGCACACCTGTTCAGACGTTGCAGCTTCTGTTCAACTGGATGCAGGAGATCTGCGTGCAGTCCGAAAATTACATTGGGATCTTGAGCAAGACGCAGGAGTGCGAGAACATTATTACGAGTCTGATCAGTTGCGGCGCTACGACCAATAACGACATCTCCAGCGGGGTGTGCAACCTCCTCGAGATTCTGATGACCGCGAAGAACGTAGTGTGGAAGCAAGAAACGTACTCGAGTATCGTGGACTTGGCGATGTTGCATTTAACGTCGTGCGACCAAACGGTCCGCAAGAAGTACAGCTCGCTGCTCATGCGTATGCCCATCAACATTGTCATGCAGAAGCTCAACAAGCAATGTTTGTTCTCGGACACGAAGGTGAGACATTTTTTGGACAATGACAGCGAACGTAATTATGGCTTCCCCAACCCTATTTGTAACACATTTGTTATTATATATGTTGCTATAATTTATTAATCGTAAAATGTTGCCTCTCGGACGTTGCAGAAAATACGGGAGATCGAGACGTACTCGACGGAGTCGCTGGTGCTCGCTCAAAGACTGCACATGCGAGGTAACAACAACGGGGAATTGCTGGCGCAGCACTTCAAGACCTACATGAAGTTCCTGCTGCAAGAGCGCTATCTCAAGATGTTCAGTTTGTCGGGGATCTTCACCCTGTGTTGGCCAGCCGTGTAAGTGATCTCCCGTCGAAGCAACCTCTACCCAGAAGCAAACTTCAATTGCTTTTTGCAATACTATTAATCGCGATTAATAGTATTGCAAAAAGCCAATCAGAGTGCACGCTAGATGTCAATGACGAGATAGAATTTTTCCGCACAGCACGTCCTGATTTCGTCCTCATCCTGATGAGACATAAAAAGTCTTGCTCAGGCCGTGAAAAAAAATTTCTTTTCCTTCCCCACCGAGAAGGCGGGAAATAAGGACCGGAATCTTTGGATATAATTTTGTTTTGTAGTTGACAGCATCTTGCCATTGTCGTCTGATGTCTCTGATCAGCTTCTTGCGTGATTTATACTATTATGGCTTCTTCAGAATCGTCCTACGTGAAACTCCTCTTCTCGCAGGTCGGAAAACGAGACCATAGCGCGGATGTACCGCTTGTCCTTGGCGAACTGCTCGTTTCTATTCTTCTGGAGCGGCTTCGAGGCGGCGCAGCACTGCGTGGCCAACAAGCTGCGCACGTACCTGGGCAAGCCGCAGGAGACGTTCACGTCGATCGAGGGTGCGCTGAAGGTTCTGGCTCGCGAGATATCGTGCAGCACAGACATGGTGAAGAAGGACGCGGTGAAGAAGGACATGCTGAAGAAGGACGCGGACTCAGACGACGACGAGGAAGATTACATCCTGCACGAGCAGACCAGCGTGCGGCTGTTCGTCGAGTTCCTCGAGCACCTGGAACGAGTGATCCACAACGCCGCGGACGGTTGCGCGATGGTGCTACTGCCGTTGTCCAAGCCGGTGAGAACCTTCTTCCACACCAATAAATCGACATGCAAGGAGTGGTTGAATCGCATACGACTGGCCCTGTGCGTGGTCTCCTTGCACTCGGGCTTGGCGACCAGCGCCTTGCGCAACGGCCAACGTCTGTTGGAGGACCTGAGCAACGCCGATAACACTCAGGGCGTTGAGTTCGAGAGAGCCACGCTGTGGACAGCTCAGGCGATGGTGACGTTGGACGAAGCGGAGGCGTTGCAGGGTCTCTACGTGTACACGAAGGAGAAGGACAGAAAGTTCCCGTGGCTGAAGGCGGCCATGGAGGAGGCTGCCGGTCATTACGAGTCGGCGGCGGACAGTTACAAGCAGATCATTGAGGAGCACGTGCAAGCCAAGGCGGACGATGAGGCCAGGTCCGCGAAGAACGAGAGCGACAATCAGGTGCTGGGTTTCTGCATGCAACGACTCAGCAACTGCTATAAAGCTACGAGCGACTGGTCCGGCCTGGAAGCCTGGAAATTGCAGGAGACCGACATGCTGGCGCAAGAGAAGGACGCTCTGCTGAAGAAACAGCTGACTGACAACATCACGCTGCAACAGGCGCGCTGTCTGAAGAAGTTTGAAGAGGGTGAACTGATTTCCCTGGACGAGCTGACAAATTGGAATCTGCTGGACGAGAAGAAGAGCAACTGGAGCTGCGCGAAGACCCTGGTCGAGTGCAGCAACAGCCTGACCAACGCCGCGCTGCGGATTCGTAGCAACGAGCAGGACAAGATGCTCGGCAGCGAGATCGACAAGTGCCAAGAGTTCGCAGCCAAGACGATGCAGGATGGCCTGCGGAACGTGCCGTCCGAATATCTGAACGACGCCATATTACTTCAGTATTCGGCGACCGGACTAAAGAGTCTGCTGTGCGGCAAAAGCTGCAACGTCTTCGAGTTGTACAAGTCTGACAAGATAAACGACATCAACTCGGACATCCTGACGCAAGTGTTGTGGTGGTCGGAGTATTTTAACCAGTCGTGCAACAACGGCACCACCACGGAGGTCGACAGTCTGCGGCTGCACGTGATCAGGGCCGCGAGGAAGGAGGGTAACTTCCAGTTGGCGAAGCGGGAGATGGTGAAGTATTTCAAGATGGTGCAGGACCTGTTCCAGACGAAGAACCCGAGCGCCAGCACCTTCGGCGAGATCACGAGCTGCATGCTGAACGAGCCGATCCGCGTCAAGTGGACGAAGAACAGCATGCGCGCCTTCCGCCAGTTCTCCAAGCTGCTCTACGACATGGAGAACACGAGCGAGGCCTTGAAGATGTGCTGCGTCACTTCGCTGGGGATTTCGCAAGCCATCGTCAGCGGCGAGCAGTCCGCTGAGCTGCGCGAGACCGGCACTAAGCTGCTGCTCACCCTCGGCAAGTGGATACAACAGGACATCAATGTGAGCGACAACCCGCAGCTGGAGGAGCTGCTGCGCTTCGAAGCCGTGCACAACGACGGTCTGATGGACAAGCTGTTCGGCGACACGGTTGACCTCATCCCGACGTCCGACATGATAATCGGCAAGCTGATGCAGCTGGGCGTGAACCAGTGCCCGGATCTGCCGCTCGCCTGGTCCAGCTTCGCTGCTTGGTGCTACAAGTGGGGCCGCAAGATTGTCGACAACTCGAATTCCGGCCAGTTGACGGACACCGACCGGATAAAGATTCAGTCGCTGTTGCCGGTGGACATCGCCGAGACCGACCTCAACACCGTCTTCTCCATACTAAGCCAGAACAAGACTATACCTGAAGACGAGGGTGACATCGACACCAACGACATCAATACGTCCGACATGATAGAGAACCAACTGCGGAACGTGCCGGTGCTGAGTCGCGCCGCTAACGATCACCTCGGCATGCTGGTCGACATCTGGAGGCAGGCACAGAAGAGGATCTATTCGTACTACGAGCTCTCTGCGAACGCGTACTTCAAGTACCTGCAGTTGGCCAACAACGAGAGCAACGAGTGCGACACCATCACGGCGACCTTGCGATTGCTGCGGCTGGTTGTGAAGCACGCGTTGGAGCTGCAGAACGTGCTGGAAGCCGGTCTCTCCACCACCCCGACCGCCCCATGGAAACAAATCATCCCGCAACTGTTCTCCAGACTCAGTCATCCCGAAGCTTACGTGCGTACTCAAGTGTCGGAATTGTTGTGCCGAGTGGCGGAGAACTCGCCGCACCTCATCACCTTTCCGGCCGTGGTGGGCGCGGTGTCGGGCCGCGAGAAGAAGGCCTACGACAAGGTGATCTACGACAAGTCCGACAACGACAATTCGCAGAACGATCTGGACTACAACGAGGAGGATGCCACGTACAACGACGAGCACGAGAGCTTCATGGACTCGTGCTTCTCGCAGCTGGTCGACTGCCTCTCGAGCCGCATCCAGGACTCCGTAGTCCAAGTGAAGGTGCTAGTGAAGGAGCTCAGGAGGATCACGCTGCTATGGGACGAGTTATGGCTGGCGACCTTGTGCCAGCATCACACGGAAATCACGAAACGATTCGAGCAGCTGGAGATCGAGATCCAACGGGTCCAGGACAACGTGTGGCTCGCGCCCGAGGAGAAGGATAAGCTGATCGCGGAGAAGCACAGAATCATCCTCAAGCCGATCACCTTCATCTTGGAGAATCTGCTCTCCATGACGTCCGTGACCGCCGAGACGCCGCACGAGAAGAACTTTCAGGACAAATTCGGCGCCACTATTGAGGACGTGATCAACCGACTCAACAACCCTAAGTACCCGGCGAAACCTCAGCTGGCCAGCGTGCCACTCAAGCACCTGGAAGCGAAGCTAGCGCAGCGCGTGCACCGACGGGCCGCTTACTCCTTATTGATGACCGACATCAGCCCCATTCTGGCGAACCTCAAAGACACCTGCATCGCCATGCCGGGCGTCGCCGCCGTCGACAACAAGGTCGTCACGATCATGTCGGTGAACAACAATGTCCAGATCCTGCCGACCAAGACGAAGCCGAAGAAGCTGATATTCCACGGCTCGGACGGCCACGTTTACACGTACCTGTTCAAAGGACTGGAAGACTTGCACTTGGACGAGAGAATAATGCAGTTCCTCAACATATGCAACACCATGATGTCGAAGAACAGTGAGACCAAGGCCTACAGGGCGCGTCACTACTCTGTGATACCCCTGGGTCCCCGATCCGGCCTCATTCAGTGGGTCGACGGCGTCACGCCGTTATTCATACTCTACAAACGTTGGCAGCAGCGCGAATGCGCTATGACCAACAAGACCGGAAATTCGGCCATCATGCGACCGTCCGAATTGTTTTACAACAAGCTCACACCGCTGCTGAAGGAACGGGGAATCGGTCTGGAGAATCGGAAGGAGTGGCCCATCCAGGTGCTGAAGCAAGTACTGACCGAGCTGATGAATGAGACGCCTAAAGACCTGCTAGCTAAGTGAGTGTTGTTCTTCTGTCATCCTTTTTCATGTGCGCTGTTTGTATTTTAGGCACTTGCGTTCGTTACCGCGAGAAATTTACCGTTTGCAAGTTTTTACAAGTTTCGCTTCTCTCAAAGATGGTTTACGCTGTTCAAGTAAATAGTAAAAATTGTAAAATTTTGCAATCCCGTGACGTAACACGCCTTAATTCATTATTCTTCCATTTCATATGCGCTGGTTGCGTCTTAGGAATTGAAGTCTACTGTGTAGGAAAATTCGCACCTTTGAGGAAAATGTATTAGGTTGCTTAGCAAGGTAATGATAGACTCCAGACAGATGTACATCAATTTGGCAGCAACTTTATTAGACGTAGGTTGCGTTTTTTATGAGTGATTCGTACAGTGCTGTATTTATCACATAAAAGAACGGATGAAAAAGAAATACGAAAGAGACGATCGCGATTTGTTCGAAGCAACGTGAATTTGTTGACTGATTCGGTACAGCATGTTTGCTCTATAAATATAATGGTAAAAGTTTTCATATCACATCGATTGTTTCACGTCGTGAGATTGCAGGGCAATCATGAATATCTATCTGGAGAGGTCTAATCCTGCGCTACTGGAGTTCATTAACTTGTTTATTAACGCCACTGGACGCTGTTAATCGAGGCATGAATCGGGACACTCATCCCCGTCTCACTTTGCAGAGAAATCTGGTGCAACAGCGTCAACGCCGGCAGCTGGTGGCAAGCCACCAGGAATTACTCGTACTCCGTCGCGGTCATGTCCATCATCGGCTACATCATCGGTCTGGGCGACCGACACTTGGACAACGTTCTCGTCGACCTCAACACCGGCGAAGTCGTGCATATCGACTACAACGTCTGCTTCGAGAAAGGCAAGACCCTGCGCGTCCCGGAGAAAGTGCCGTTCCGCATGACGCCGAACATCAAAGCGGCCTTGGGAGTGACCGGTGTCGAGGTAGGTGCCGCGATGATCATCGAACGTGTCTTACTCTTGAGATTTCCTTGAGTGAAATTTCACTCGCTCTCGGTGAGGTTTCACTCTGAGAAATTTACAGAGTATTTGTACAAAAGTTGTTTAGGTAAAAAGAAGAGTTCCAGGCTTACAAAGTAGGTGGAACTTTTTACTCATTATAGTAAGTAAAAAGCTTAGTAAACATGAGTCGAAAGATGAATCCCTTTCAGAGTCTCATATGTTTCTCGATTTCGGTAGGGCATGCTTCTTTTTATCACCTGAAGGGATTGATTTTCCGATCAATTTATTTACCAAGCGCTTTTTGCTCAATGCGATGGGTACCCTGCAGTCCTTTTTCTCCAACACCCTGTATAGACGTTCCATGAGGAACTGCAAACACTGCATTTGCAAAGGACAGCCAAAGGAATGCCACAGATGCTCGATCTTTGTCTAGCTTCATTCTTAAGTTGTGTTTCCTGAACTGGTCGCTGAACTGGTTACACCACGTTCAACTGGTTCTCTCTTCTTCTTTCCCCAACAAGTCTCAACTGCGCGAGTGTCTCTTTCTAAATTCCGAAAATGTAAACTGGTTCAGCGAAAGAAAACAAACTTCTTATCAGAGAAAGCTAGATGAGAGCCACACGCGTTCCAGTTGGGATGGGCAGAGTCCACTGAGTTTTGAAGTTTGAAGGTTGGGGATTCAAGCGAGTAAACATCTTCTTTCATCTGGTATCGTCGTTTCTCATACGCACACCCACACACATACACACACTACGTAGAAAGTGGAATAATTTATAATTGTCGCAGGTAGTTGTCGGCTCTCGACACACGGTCGGTCGCCGTTACAAAATCGTGTTCTCCACTCTAGCCCTGTCCTCCTCCTCCGTGTGATCACATCGTTGCTCGGACGGGTATCCACGGAGGCCGCTGTTCCCGCTGACCCCGTGCTCGCTCTCCGCGTCCTTCTGCTTGCTCCTGATCTCGTTGCGCTGCTGCTCCAGGAAGACCTTCAGGCTCGAGTTGAGTTTGTTGTTGGGCGACTTGAGGCGCAGGATCTTCTGGAACGCTCGGCGGAAGCTGGTGTTCTTCCACGCGTATATGACGGGGTTCATACCGCTGTTGGCGAGCGCCAACGCGAACGTGATCTTGTACCACGTGTTGGTCGAGTCTTGCATCCAGCCGAAGCTCCGCATGCACGCCACGACGAAGTACGGGAGCCAGCAGATCGAGAAGCAGCCTAGTATCATCAGCACCACCTGCGACAGAGAGATTAGCATCGGCTGCTGAGGTTATCCTCTGATTCACAAGTTTCACGTTCACGCGGAACGAGAGGTCAGAGCTTACATGCACGCTCCTACGGTCGTTCTTCTCGGTGAAGCTTGAGACGATACTGAGATTCATTCGGCGCGCGCACATTTGCGCCTCCTTCCAGATCTTCACGTACAACAGGAACATCGTCACCCAGGTCAGAAGGAACGATGGCATCTGTATAGCCACGATGTAGTACCTGTCGCACAATAAACACACGTCATTGGGACTCGTCATTGGGTTCATGGCAGTCGCCGGGGAGTGAGCGAAAGATCGCGAAGGTAGCGAAAGTGAAGAGAAAAAAAAGAAGAGAAGACTGAACTGTCCGGCCTGTGCGAGCCGTTATCTCGGCTCAATATAATATAACAATTGATCGTGATCGATTCGGTTTCTCAGTCGAATGCTGACCCTTTTGAGCGTGAAGTCACCGATTGGATGAGAAAACAATCAAGATGAGATTGAAAAACAAGAACGGTCTTTGTGTAACTGAGAAAGGGGAAGAAAAGCATTAAGATTGACGCGTTCTTCATTCCCAAGGAAAAAGGATATCTAAGCGACGCCAAGGTGGAAGACGCGCAATATTGGCGATGGGTTTGGCGTTATCCCGCATTTCCCAAGAAAGCAAAATCCATTGGCGCGCAAGGACAGCTTCCTAGCAGATCGCGCTGCCCTGACGAGTCCGATTGACCCAACAGGTCTGTCCGTTTCCGAAAAACCGAACTAGTGCAGCCAGAGGTCCTTCGGAAACGGGCAGAGCCGAGTCGCTGAGCGGCGCTGGTACCTCGGCAAGACTGTCTCGAGCTCGCAGGTGGACGTGGCGCTGAAGCGGTTCCAGTAGATCGGGATCGACGACACGCCGATGGTGCAGAGCCACGTGCCGGCTATGATGAACAGCATACGCCTCCGCGTGGCGTAGTTGTTGTAGCTGAGCGGATGGACAATCGCGACGTAACGGTCGATGGCGATCACCATGATGTTGTAGATGCTGCCGCCGCAAGCCAGGCTGATGAGCACGAAGCGTGACACGCAGATCAATTCCTCGTGGCTGAGCGCGTCGTTCACGTAAAAGGCCAAGTGGTACGGCAGCGCCATGCCTACCAGCAGATCCGACACGGCCAAGTTCAGCACGAAGAAGTTGGAGACGACGTTCCTGAGCCGCCGGGTCACCGCGATCGCCACGATCGTCAGCACGTTGCCTAGGACGATCACGACGAACAGAAAGCAGTCTACGAGGATCCAGAAGATGTTCTCCTCGTCGGGGATATTCGGTTCCGGCATGTCGGGCGGTGCGCTCGACGCGCTCACACCCGCGTCAGCGATGTTGCTTTCCTTCAGATACATGTTTCTGGGGAAAAGAGAAAAAGGAGCCTGAAGGAGGATCCTGGACGACTGGGGCTTCCAGTTTGACGTCTGACGTTTCATCTTAAGATGGGATTTCAAACAAGCGAACCGAGTAAGGAAGAGATTCGCGTGTTCTTCAACCTTCGCGTATTCTTCTCTTCAAGGAAAGAAGGCGAGACTTTTCGGTCTGGTGATGGACGTGTAAATGAAATTGCATCTTACAAGCGATCCTTACAGCGAGTCGAAGACGAGATTTGCCTGTGAGCGGGAGAGAAGGAACGCCGAAATTCACACATTCTCTCTCTCTCTCCCTCTCTCTCAAAGAAAAGAAGATGCTCAAGCGGCGCTCGAGTCAAGTGGTAAAACGGGTAATGCTGGCCGAGAGAGCCAACTTGAATTTGAATTCCAAATTCTTCGGCCGATTCTCCCGCCGTCGTGGAAATCCCAAGAGAAACCTTTCCAACCGTTGAATCAAATTGAAACCTCAGGAAGGAGAGATCTTCACGTAAACTTCCACGGTCTCTGAGAAATTCTCGCTGACTCGCTTTATCTTAATCGGAGGAGGAAGAGGTCTGGAGAGGAAACTTTTCACAATATCCGGCCGGTTGAGTTGAAATCCCAGGAACGGCGATTTCCCCCGTATCTTTCTGCGACCTTTTTCCGTTGTTCCACCAGCGCGAACTAGCACGTGTTTTCTAACCACCTCAAGTTCGAGAACGTTCACTCGAGTCCGCGAGCCGGAAGACCCGCGGAAGATCGACTTTCCGAGGCGAGAGCGACCGCGGCAAGTCTCTCGACTGGTTGGATTGAATTAACAGAAGAAATCTGTCACGTCTCGTTGAAAGGATATTCCGGGCATTTCTTCATGCCAACAAATTTCAATCGGTTGGACGAATGGAGGCTCCAGAATTGAGAACTCGGCTGCGCGTCGGCTGACTCGACTTGCCCTTGAGGAGCGTCGATGACGCGCGATTGTCGCCGCCGAAGGCGAGATAAGAGCCGACGCCCGAAACCCGGGCACACGTGGATCTTATTTACCAAAGAGGTCCAGATCTTGCATAATGACGCGTCTCGACGCGGCATGGCGCAACAAGCTCGACGAGCCGAGGACGACCAGGCGGAGCAGAGCGAGCGACTGGAGCCGGCCCCACCGTCGGCGGAGTACTCACCTTCCGCGCACACACGCGCCGAGAGAAACGGGTTTCCGTCGGTGTCCTACGAAGCGTCGGAGCACACACCTGTTCACGCATGACGATTACGTAAATCTATGACCTCGCGGCGGACTGGTCCTGCTCATCACGAGAAACGCGAAGGCGGCTCATCTGTCGCGTCGACCGGCGCTCGCGCGTGGTTCATCTCGATGACAAGGCAATAGCCATAATAGCTTAAACTCGGTGAAGACAAAGAGAGAGAGAGAGAGAGAGAGAGAGAGAGAGCGAGAGAGAGAGAGAGAGAGAGAGAGAGCGAGAGAGGCCGGGGGAGTCTAAGATCGATACGCGGAGGACGATTTGATAGATACGACACGTTGCCCGGCACGTTCGGAAGTGCCTTTATCTGCTCACCTGGCGCTTCCCCCACGAGAGACTGCGACAATGTACCGCGCTATCAGTCGCTATCAGCGGCCGATTTGCAATTGGGGAAAGTCGATGGGAGTCGGACGCCGAGCGGTCCTCGGCGCTTCGCGACCGCGGACGCGCATAATCGCGAGCCTGATGTCATAATATTCCCTCTATCGTACACCGCTATCGCGCTATAAGGTAATCGCTATTTGTGTCCAGGGTATATTTAGGTTCGCCTGCGAGCACACGCTGAGAGTGATGCGCAGAGGTCGCGAGACGCTGCTCACCCTGCTGGAGGCCTTCGTGTACGATCCCTTGGTGGACTGGCGTGCCGGTGCGGACACGAGTATAGCAAGTTACGGTGCCTGCCAGGCGAGAGCGAGGTGCACCGGCATCGGCAGGAAGCAGCTGGAGCAGGAACTGACGCGCGCCATGTTCGCCGTGAGGACGGCGGAAATGCGCGCCGAATGGTTGGCCAACAGGTGAGCTACGCGTCGACTTAGAAATAAGAGAGAGGGAGAGAGAGAGAGGACGTCGCGCGGCAACAGGACACGGTCAAAGTCTGCCTGTTGCGCTCGGTCCTCTTCCTCCTCCTCTTCCTCCTCCTCCTCCTCCTCCTCTTGTCGTCTCCTAACCACGAAACGGTTGCCTCGAGTTTGATCCTCGCGACCGGTTTACAGGGACGAGTTGTCCAAGACCTTCCCGCAGCTGTGTCAGCACCTCAACAGCTGGATCGAGGCGACCGAGGCCTCTCGTCAGTGCCAGGACCTGCTGCAGGATCGACACCAGCAGCTCGCGCTGGTGAAGGAGGCGCAGGCGATGGGTCGGAATCATGCCCTGTATTCGGTGGTCAAGCGGTACAACTCGTTCAAGCGGGCACGGGACGCCCACGAGAAGGCCAAGGCCGGGCTGAAAGAGAAGATAGAGGACTGCGAGAAGCAGATCAACATGCACAACGTGAGTTGTCGGGGTTCACTTGGTTAAATACGTGGAAGTTACAGTTGTATAATACGATTTAATTTTCATCCTCCATCTTGAATTTGTTAGTTCGGATTCGCATTGAGCGACCCAAAAGACCATCCAGTTTAGATTGACATAACAGTGAAGGCTGTTTGGTAAATCGTCAATGATCTGCTTCACATCTGATTCACAGCTTTTCTCTGCAATAGACTCCGTATTTAATGAATATCTTATTAACCACAGCTGACACAAAACAAATCCTTTTAAAGATTAGAAGTAAAAATTTTCTTCAACCTCGACAATTATAATTTGCCATAAAAAATTTGCGATTACTCTTTAGCTGAGAAAAGGAAACATTTAAATGTATCATTTATACATAAATGTATTGACAAAACTTATAAAATTTTGCATCTTGTCACATTTTTTAAAAATGTGATGTGGTAGTTTGAAACAATTTCCAAGATGAACGAACGTTTGATGCGTCTCAATCTTCTTTTTTACATTCTATTTCGACCAACATCTTATCGAAATTAATTACATCTTACTTAACTATAATTATTCCTATACTATTATCCCTTAACTATAATAAATTCCTAGAAAAACTACAAAAAAGGATCTTTATTTCCTTTAATTGTCGCCGCATTTTATCGTTTTATTGTTATCTATCTATAAATCTTTTTTGTGCCAGCACAGCTGGCATTCCGAGTTGCCGGAATAAATGTTTATGCCAGCTGTGCTGGCACTCCGAGTACAAGGAGTTAATATTACAAAATACGTAGCCAAAATAGCCTTTTTGCAACTTCAACTGCAATTTTCTCAAATCTGTCACGCGATAAAGTAATTTAGAAATTAAATTTGTGTTCAGCGTCCTCAGAAAAATTACAGGAAATGACTAGACTCATTCTGGTGTATGTATGTATATTTTTTTTCTTTATCTTATCGGTGTTTTCTTTCTTTTCGTTTGCAGATCACACTGGCAACCGTGCGAGGCCCTCAGCTGGGACAGTGGCTGGCGGAGCTGGGAAGCTCGGCTAGCCAGGAAGAGCACGTAGTGTTTGATCTCGTGAAAGAATTCCTACAAAACGCCGGCCAGAGTCAAATGATACTGCAGTGCGAGCAATCGGAGAACGAATTGACGCAGCTGGCTAGCCAGCAGTCCCACTTCATACGTAGCTGTTTGGAGCTGCTGAGCCAGTATGCCGCAATCTGCAGCCTGTACCCGCTGAGCACTCTGTCGCAACACCGCACGGTGCTTTATCACACTTGGGCAAATAAGCTGTTGATCTCTGGCACCGTCGAGGCGTGCCACGAGGTCATGGCGCAATTCGAGACGAATCTCGAGCCGATCAATCCAAAGAGTCCGCAGGTTCAACAGATAATCACGTTCTCCTACCAGATGCAAGGTATACTGAACGAGGCGAACGAGAGGCTGAAGAAGGCGTACGAGCGGATGGTCTCCGAGGGCCTGCCGGAGGCCATCAACAGAATCGAGAAGGCGTACACCGAGTCGAGGACGCAGATCACGAACTTTCTGCGGCGGGAGAAGGGCGCGGAGCGGGCGCTCGAGTGCGTCAACATCACCGCGCTGTGCGCCTTGAACAAGAGATACCTGATGATGGAGGGCGCCGCCAAGTGCGCCGGCGACTGCTTGGTGGACCTGACGTCCCGCGAGGGCGACTGGTTCCTCGACGAGATGCGGCTCATGTCGTCGTTGATCGCCGAGTTGGTCACGCTGATACCGGAGAACCACAAGACTAATAACGACCCGAAGATCTCGCTGATACTCAAATGCCTGAAGAGCGCCGACAGCATCTACAAGGGCCTGCAGGAGCTCAACTACAACTTCCAGACCATCATACTGCCGGAGGCGATGAAGACCATCATCACGGAGGAGCCCAGCGTTATGCGAATGATCAACGAGCTCAGTGAGATCGTGCTGACCGGCTTGCCGCCCGGCGACATCTTGGCGCAGCTCGAGATACACCTGAGATTCACCGTCATGGAAATGGAGAGCCCGCACGCGCTGGTGCAGGGTCTAGTGACCAACATGAGGCTGCGATTCGAAGCGTTACTGTCGCGGCCCGCGGAGGTGCAGGACTTGAATCAGGAGGAGACTCTGACACCTGGGCAAATGCTGTTGATGGGTTTCAACGGTCTGTTCGAGAAGCTGCAGATGGAGGGTAACGCCTTGGTGGCCACATTGAGCTCCTTGGACATCCCGCTAAATTGGAAGAAGATCGATCAGATACGAGAGGCCAAGGAGATGTCGGCGCCCATCTTCAACAAAGCGGCCCGGCAGGTTTTGGAGGATATATTCTTGATCAAGAGACTACATACCATACAGGAGTTCTTCATGATGTGCAGAGACATTGCTACCGCGTTTAAGGGCGGCTTGACCAATGTGTACGATGACGAACAGCTCAACAAGCCGGTCAGAGTGTTCACAGCCGACTACGTGTCGAGGCAGCTGCTCGGAGTGACGTCGCAGACATTGGCGATTGCTTTGTGCTTTTTGCTGCAGCGGATGGGTCTCAACGTCACCACCGAAATCGAGCAGCGGGACATAGGCGCGGAGAGCAAAGTCTCGATTGAAGAACTGTGCCGCAAGATTGTCGATCTGTGCCTGAAGAGGGGATTATTCTCAGGCTCGGTCTTGGCTCAGGCTGGTGCGCTCAGCAGCACGCTGGAGAGCGCCTTCAAGCGGAAGCAGGGCGCCCGATTGGCGCAACAAAGTGTCGAGGTAACCAGGGCCAGTGTACAAAGACTCCAGCTACAGCTTACGGCTCACCATTGGCTGCACGAAGATATCTTGATGTTGAGGTCCAACATGAACCCGTTGAATCCTCTAAGTGAGTACCCCAGAAGAGTGTTATCAGTATGTGAAACCGTCATATGGAAATTGTCGATTATTTCACTCACTGTTCAAGTCTTATCGTTTACACTTCACGGTGTTCACGTTGACGATATGTTATAGCGATATTAATTATCTACTTTTAAGATTCTGAGTTTTTCACTGATGTCACCTTGGCTGATGACGTCAGAAGCGAGGAAATAGTACTCGAAATTCTCGCGAAGTACATCATAGTAAAAAGATGCGATAAAAACATGCGACCTTGATCGAGCGAGTTTTACAACATCGAAGTTTAAACGATCGAGCAATAATTAAGTCACCGACTAGTTGCAACCGTCAACCTGCTTGGCTCTTATTGGTCATCGCCTTCTGATTGAATATTTGAAAGTCTTGATACAAAAATTCTCGTTATAGTCAAAATTTTTAAGAAAATGAAATATTTAAAACGAAACTTGCTTTTTGTCCCAATAATCGATAAATAGCCGTAAAGCTTCTGACGTCATTGATGAAGACGCAAGGAGAAGCCTTGATCGATTGAATATCCTTAATGCAAATTTTCCTTGGGAAATTAAGAACGTCCCTTTTGCTCCAATGATCAATGAGTACAACTGAACAGACAAACATTCTATTTCTCCATGGTTTCGCTATTAATTTTACAACAGTTAAACCTGAAGACTTAATCTCTATCTCATCCCCGTAGATCGTTCTGCCTTCATGCTGGAGCTGCGGAAAACGGCGACGGCACTGTCGGGGCTGCAGTCGCGGGTATGCGAGGCCCGCGAACAGCAACAGAACCTTGTCGCAAGCGCCATACAACGTCTCAAGTGGGCCGCCGGCGCCAATCCAGCATTGGGCGAAGTGATGTCGGCATTCGACAACGCCGTGCTGTCATCGTGCGAAAAGCTCACCAGGCAACACAACCTCGCGGCGATGGTAATGAACACGTGCAATTCCATCCTGCACTACGAGGCACTGCGCACGCGGACGTCCGAGAGTGTGACGCACGACGCGAACTTTGTGAAGCTGATAAAGCACTGGGAGGAGAGCTGCATGTTGACGGTCAACCTGAACATTACCGTCACCATGATAGAGGAGAGTCTCGTGCAGCTGCTGCAGCTGGAGAACAACGTCGACGTCAACTGGCTGAAGCAGGCGGAGAAAATCGTGTCTGAGGCTATCCTCGACACCCAGAAGAAGCTGCAAGACAAACAGGAAACCCTGTACAAGACCCAGGGCTACTTGAGGGAGCGAGTGGCGAGTTTGCAGAGCGTGCTCACCGAGCATCACAGACTCATGTCAGACGTGAGAGTATTGCTGAGAACGATGGCCAAGCAGGAGAATATCGTTGGTTTGCAGGACTTCTTGTCGGCGTACCGTTCGTTCACAGAGAGCGTGTCAGCGGTAGTGAAGGAGCTGGAGTCTGAGAAGTTCGACACCGCGCGAAGCGTGGCGATCAAGGAAGAGCTGCAGACCATGGCGATCAAGGCGCCTGGGCTGTATAACGAGCTGCTGGAATTTGCGAGCGAGCAGAGGCTCAACGCGGCGAAGAGCGCGGAGAAGGACAACCTGCTGAAGAAGAAGAACAAGCTGGTGAGACAAGACAGTGTATGCATGAGCCCGAGGAAAGGCGTGCCATTAGCCAGAGATCCGACCACGGGAAAAGGTGAGCCTCTTGTCTTTGGACTCTGCCTTGATTTATTGTTCTTCCATTTTATACATGTGCTATTCTTTTCATTTGTCACATTTTTTTATTGTTCCAAGAATTTGGAATTCCAAGGATTCCAAGAACTGAAAAATTGTTACTGTTACTGTCTCTCAACTAGATCTATTACATTCTTCAGCAAGATAAACTGTGCTGACAATTTACTCCTGCACTGCTATTTGAGAACTTGGTAAAGTTGGAAAGAATCTAAAATTATTCTTGTATCACGTGTGAAAATATCATGAAACTTTAAAGTTGATTATCTAGAAAAGTTTGCATTTTATAAAAAGATGCTTCGAATAAAAATATTTGTTTTTATCCCTACATTTTCATATGAAATACTACAAAATGGGAGTTTCCATTTGCAAAAATTAAGTTGACCTTGATTTGACCTCTAAATTTGTTTCCTAGCTCAAGTTCAAGTTTATCTCTAGATGCCCATTTCCCAACTCTAAAATTTTTGTGTTTAACATTTTTTTCAAAAACGTCATCCCTTCAAATTAATCCGGGGTATCCATCTTTCTGGTACACCCTGTATAAAAATGCATAATTACTCTGTGATACTGTGAATGCTGTAGCGACACATAATATTTGTGTCGCTACAGCATTCACCTACAAAACCAAGTTGACCTTGATTTGACCTCTAAATTTGACTCCTAAGTCAAGTTGAAGTTCACCACTAGATGTCCATTTCCAAACTCTAAAACTTTTGTACTTAACATTCTTTTTTTTTTTTTTTCAAAAATACCATTCTTTCAAGTTAATCCGGAGTATCCATCTTTCTAGTACATCCTGTATAAAAATATATAATTACTCTGTGATACTGCTGTAGCGACACATAACATCATCTGAACGCTCTTGAACTTCAGACCATCGTTGGGCAAGTGCTTCGCACCCGGATATACGAGGAGTAGCAGCTCGAAAATTTCAGTACTACGACTTGTGTTGTGCAACACGACAACACTCGAGCCGTAGCTTGGTAATCTTCCAGACCGCTAATCTTCCTTCGAAATTTCTGTCCGCAGCTGTACAAGAGCGGAACGCCTACGCGCTGAACGTGTGGCGTCGCGTGCGCATGAAGCTGGAGGGTCGCGACCCGCAGCCGTCGCGCAAGTACACGACCGCCGAGCAGGTGGAGTACGTGATACGCGAGGCGCAGAGCACCGACAACCTGGCGCTGCTATACGAGGGCTGGACACCGTGGGTCTGAACGGACGGCGGCTGGCGCGCGCGCGCGCGCGCCGATGGCTCGACACTCGTCTCATAACGGTACTCAAGCTCGTACCGCTCGTACGTCGTCGCCCTACGTTGCCGTAGAGGCGAGACCCTCTCCGCACCTCGACAGCAGGCTGCGGCGGCACTCGACCAGCCAGTCACATCCGCGCGCGAACCACAAGTCAATAGGAAAAGAAGAAAACCAAGAAAAGAAGAAAAAACAGCAAGCATAGTCGGTTTTAAGGCTCGCCCGCAGCCTGCGTGAGAGCGTGCGTGAATATGCGTCGCGGCGGCTCGATCACCGGCGCGACCACTGGGAAAACAAAACAACAACCCACCCACTGTGCCCGAGTTGCTGATGCCGTTTCGTCGTCCCGAAAGCGCGTCGTGGCTCGCGAGCGGTTTATTCGCGGATTAGAGGAGGGACGAGTTGCTCCCCAGTTGCTGCTTGTTTGTACCTCACGGGTGCGGGAAAGAGAGTGTGAAGGCGATTGCGGGGGTTATGGATCGGGGCGGTGGGATCCTCGTGAATTCAATCTGCCGTCCCTGCTCGTGTGATGTCTCGTAAGAACGGCTAGCTCTTGTATTTAGGGAAGAGAAGAAAAGGGAAGGAAGGTAGATGGGATTCCTGAGTATTCCTTTCGAGTAGGGTAACATGCTGACTCGGTGGACGCGGATAAAAACGGATAAACGGCTTTACTTTAGCTGGGAGCCACGGGATTTTGGGGGAAAAGCGGGCGATCAGTCGCATCTGTTAAGCTATATAGTCGCGTGAAATTCGACTGACGACATTGACGGGGAATAATTGACGATGACGATGATGATGAACGATGACGATGACGGTGGTATTGTAAGGAGATCGTGCTGTCGATCGTATGTAAGGTCATCGCATCGGGAGAAGCAGCGAAGGAGCGTCCTCGGACGAGATCCTGGTTGCCGGCTCACTCGGTAGACTGGCATCCTCGAGTCGAAGATGACGTAGCGTTAATAATGTTAAGCGCATAACCGTATTACACAGGCAGACTTGACGATTCATCCGATCGGCAAGAGAAAGCGCAACCGTCAGGCAAGGCACCATCGCAGCGTTACTTTGACGAGACCAACAGCAAAATTATTACCGGACCCGCCACTTAACAGAGGGACTACGAATAGAGTTATCATTATTATTATTATTACTACTATTATTATTACTATTGAGTTGTATATGTAACCGAGGATATGTCAAAAACACACCAACACACACGCATGCACACACACGCGCGAACACACACACACACACACACAAACACAAACGATACACACAAGTCGTACACGCTAACGGACGTGTTTGAAAGGAAATAATCAATGTTATATCGCAAACGATTAATCGCCGATTTCCTAAATTGGACGCTCGTAGTCGCACACATCGACTTGAGTTTTGCCTCACACTATCAAACAATTTGAACGAGAAGAAGGAAACACACACCGACTAATTTCGTAGCCGATACCGATACCTCGCGACGATAATTTCCACTGTACACACACACGATCAAGTCACTTTGATTTTTCTCTTTTTTTTTCTTTTTTATAAATCCATTTTGGACAATATGTAATTCGGGGCAAAATTGTGAGTGATCCAAAGTGAGCTTGGGGCGAAAATCATGTTTTCACATCCCGCGTAGTCGATGCCTCGTCGTCAAGGTGAAGAAACGACGTCGATCAATATGATTCTACACGAGACAGAATTCCCTACTCGGCCGTTTCGACTTTTAAATTCTTTTTTAACGTAGAAGTCTTCATATCGCGATCCTGCCATATCTCGGACCTGCACAGCGAACAGCCCTTTTGACGCGGATAGATTTTAATTTGTATATTAGAATTCGAAGGAAATATTAAAAAAATTGATTATCTACCGCCTAAAGTCGTGTAATTCCATGCAATGTAAGGCTCCTACTATATCACTTGATGCAATGCTGCAAACTAATAAGAGAAATCACTATGCGAAACCTCTCTCTCTCTCTCTTTCTCTCTCTCTCTCTCTCTCTCTCTCTCTCTCTCTCTCTCTCTCTCTCTCTCTCTTTTTCCCTTTCTCTCTCTCTCTCTCTCTCTCTCTCTCTCTCTCTCTCTCTCTCTCTCTCTCTCTCTCTCTCTTTCCCTTTCTCTCTCTTTCTCTCTCTCTTTCTCTCTCTCTCTCTCTCTCTCTCTCTCTCTCTCTCTCTCTCTCTCTGTCTTCTGATATTTTTTATGGGGGCGTCCCAGTTCGACACAGTACGATTGGACACGGCCAATCGAATTAGTTAGTTGATTAGATTAGGATTAGGTTAAATTTGAGTAATATTATCGGTTGTGTCCATTCGCAACCTGGTCAATCGGGTTCCGTTCATTTTTTATCAATCTACATCCTTTCCACTTGAATTCTCTTTATCTCAACCCCGACGAGAAACAACATGTGGCGAATGATCGACGATCCGAGTGAAAATATCGCGAGTTTTTATTACGAGGAAAAATCGTACAGGATATATTATTGCTATATAAAACGCGATATCGCAAGCGCTGTTCTCGCAGATGTCAAAGTATCCTTGGCGCGACCCCTCCTCCATCGCAAATGCGTCCAAGTCAGTGTTTTTCCGGCAGCCATATGTCGGACGTGCAATCTCCGCCGGGGTATCTGCACAATGACACAACAATATGAATCAGTTTTGATAACAGCGAGTTTTTCTCGCGAAGGAACGTAGGCGAGTCAGAAAGAAGAGATTGGTGGGAATTTATTCCGCCGAATAGCATGTCCAGTTATTAAAGTCAGGATAGGATAGAGTAGAGTAAAATCGGAATTAGAATAGAATTAGAGAGCGAGAAGAAGCAGAAGAAACGTAAAGAAGTTGATTAGAAAACGAGAGTACAATTGATAATCTCGTAAAAAACCACCCCAATAAATTCCGACTGATCTCTTTCGTTGAATTCTTCGCAAGGAGGAATGTCGATATGTCGCGGGCCTCCCTCTCTTTTCCTCCTCCCCCTTCTTTTACCGGCGGCGTACAACAAATTACGAAATATCTGTCGCACCTCATCTCGTGCGCGAGTAGGATGTCGTCCTTATCGGCGCCGAAATCAACGAGAAATTGATCGTCGAGCTTCATGCCGCCCTTCTTCACGTCGATATCGAGTTTCACCATCGTCGATCCGTATCTAAATGAACGGAATATCTGATTGTAGAAGCAAATTGTAAAAATTTTGTGTCACAGAGAGGGAAATAAATAAATGCAACACGGAAGACCTCTCCAAGGGATGGTGTGCGTCTATGTGCTCGGAGTGCTCACTTGAGAAGGTCGGGATAGAATTCTTTGTCCCACGGCTTGAAGATCGACGTGGTCACGTACAGCCGACGTCCGTCCAGGCTTAGCTGCAGCATTTGCGGCGCTCCATGTAGCCTGCGTCCCTTCACGTACACGGGATCGGGCTGGCGCGACATCTCAAGGTCCTTCGTCACGCGCACCTGCGAGTCGCCCAATATCGACCCGCCCAGGAAGACCTGACCCGTCAGCTTCGGCTTCTTCGTGTTCGAGATGTCGTACTGTCGGACGTCGCCGTGCAACCAGTTGGACATGTACAGGTACTTGTCGTCGAGGCTGATCAGGATGTCGGTGATCATGGCTGCAGGACGAAGTGGAAGTTTCAGCTTTTCTGTTCGAGCTTTCCGGCGAGAAATTTAACGCGTGGAAAATCTGCAAGGCTTCTCGTGCTTTTTCTTCGTTTCTTACCCGGCATCGTAGGCAACATCCATCCTTCGACCTCCTTCGGGGGCACTTGAATCACTTTTTCCGTGTCCCACGAGCCGTCCTTCGTCTTGTAAAAGCGGTAAATGTTGGATGATACCGCGCAGCCCACGAATCCTTCGGACGCGTAAGGATCGTGGAGGAATCGAATCTCGAGTGGCGTGATCCCGTCGTCTCCCAAGTTGATGCTTTGCTTCAGCTTCTGCTCCTTCCACGAGTACACGTTCAGACTTCGCCCGTAGATCTCTACACATCGGCAGGGCACACGTTATCATTTATTCAAACTGCGGGTTGAGGCTTCTTTACAGGGAAAGAGGATTGGAGTTTTAATCCGTTGACAGAAAGTTTCTTCAGGTTTAGCTTTATTTCTTTGATAGAAAAAATATTAGAAGCGTGAAGCGTTAGTTTTGAAGGTTTTGCAAGAGAGACGGCACTAATGTCAGTTTTGTCGAAGACATTTCAATCACAGCTATTATTTCTTAATGCTTTGGTATTAATCCATGACTAATAATTTACTAACAAAAGACGCAGTAAAAATCGTGTTATTTTAAAAATGAAGCTTCCTAAGTAACATCCTCGACATGCGTTGCTTTTGTTTTTTCATCAGAACAAAACGGCGGCTGAAGGTCATAGAGTTCTGATAGAAACTTATAATGATGTTGCTCCATCAATTATGAATATCGGTTTAGACGATGCAAAAGTGGTGATTTCAATGTTAACGATAAAAATCGCTCGGGACAACAAAAAAGCTTGAAAATGCAGACTCGCAAGTATTATTGGACGAAAATGCAGCACAATCCACTTCAGAACTTGCCGGAGCACAAAATGTCGATCGTACAATAGTTATCAAACATTTACATGATGTAGGAGAGATTCACAAAGAAGGAAAATGGGTTCCACATGAATTATCGGAAAATGCTATTGCGAATCGGTTGAGCATTTGCGTTTCGTCGATCGTCAGACGAAAAATGAAAAGTTTTTTGTATCGAATTGTTACTGGGGATGAAAAATGGATCTATTTCGATAATGCCAAACGAAAAGAATTATGGGTTGATCCAGGCCAATCAGCAACATCCACCTCGAAGCGCAATATTCACGATTTAAAGGTGTTGCTGTGTATTCGGTGGGATGAAGGTGCTGTGAACTATGAACTGTTAAATCCGAATGAAACTGTCACCGCTGATCGTTATCGACAACAATTATACAAAGTGAAGCGAGCATTGGACCAAAAACGATCAATCGCGAGTAAACGACGCAAAGTGATCTTTCTTCACGACAATGCCTGGACCTCGTGTTGCATTATCAGTGAAGCAAACGCTATTAGAGCTGGAATGGCAAGTCTTGCCGCACTCTGCGTATTCTCCAGACATTGCTCCATCCGACTACCACTTGTTCCGGTCGATGCAACATGTTGTAGAAGATACACACTTCCGTAACTTCGAACAAGTGCCGAAAATTTATTGAAAATTGGATCAACTCCGAAGAAGAATCTTTTTTATCGTCGTAATAAATTATAGAAAACGAAGGGAAATATTTTCATTAAGCTATTCGTTCATTACCTTGTTTAAGTAAATCAGTTTTTGAGAAAAATCCTCGAAACTAAATCTCACTCCTAATAAAAAAAGGAAGAAACGTGTCCCGCCTCTTCCTTTTGCGACCACGTTGACCTCAGAAGCGAGGAAGTACACTCTAAACTTCTGAGATACAAAACTGTAACGAATTGCAATCGATCGAGCGGATCTGTAAATAACCCAAACGATCTGTAAATAACCCAAACATGAATAACCGTAAGACTAATATGACAGGAAATGGTGGGAAAGGGTAGACTGGACGGGTGAGGGAAAAGGCAGATGGCGTGTTATGTTAACCTGACGGTTTCTTGCTGACTGCTTGAGCAAAGAGCAAGCCTGTTCAAACTCCACTGTGCTCGATGGCTTGCGTCGTTTTATGCGACGAAGAAGCAGGAGCCTCAGTACTCACTGGGATCTTCAGAGTCGCTCGGGTTGTAACCCCGTTTGAAGACTCTAGGCGCGCCCCACTCGCTGGCGATCAGCACATCGTGATACGGCTGATACCAATAGTCGTAGCCGAAAGCTGCTTTAGCGGAGCCCTTGGTCCACGTGCTCTTCGCCTCCAGAGTCTCCGCATCGATGCAGAAGAATTCACCCAGTCCGTCGCCATTGAGATTCCCCATGGTGGAGATCATTATCAAACCGGTTGGCAGGCAGTGCGAGGTATGCGGCGTTGATATCCCGTACTTGTGCATCTCTTGCGGCTCCAGAATCTTACGAAACGGGACGGTCGCTTTAAGAGATCGCTTTAAGAAGAGCAAAACTCGCCTTCGGCGACTTTGCCTCGCTACTGCTAATTGCGAGGAAACAGAGAACGGAGGTTCTCGCGACGCTCGGCTCTTCGCGCGACCCGTCTTGAATTATCCACATATTTTACCGGTATCTTCGAGCTTGAAAGTACCGCATAAGGAAGCAATTTTCTCGATTAATTCGAGCGATAATAGCTTTAGTTTTAATAACTATAATAACTTTTACTTACCTCGTTTTAAGGAAATTTTCTGAAGCCCATAGCTTCAAGGTTCTAAAAGCTTTAGCTTGGAGAAATTTCGCCGAAAAGAAACGACGTTGGCTCTAAAGTCATTGAAGTTATTATTGCTCGAATTAATTGAGAAAATTACCCCTTTATGTGTTACTTTCGAATTTTTTCCGGCCATTTGGTGAGCTTTCTCACAGCTGTTTCTCTTCACGGAATTGCACTGTCAGGGTGACGATAACGAATGTGTAATCATAATTTTTATCGTTGCTTTCCACATATGTGGAAAAGAATTTCCAAAATATAGCGAAGAAAGCAACGAAAATTGTAACGAATCATTAGAGACGATAACGACGATAATTCGCAAAGTTAATAAAGTTGACGAGCTATTTTAGACAGAAATTTTTTCAACCCTGCATATTACAGAATCTTTCATGGATGCAGTCCGAAGCAATCTGTGCATATCCCCATATACACTCCCCATATGGCACAGAAAGTTGCAGCAACGTTGCTGCAACATTGCAATATTGCAGAAACATTGCAGCAATGTTTCTGCAATGCTGCAACTTTTGTGCTATATGGGTCCTTACCCACCTTCTTCATCTTTGGTGCTTTCTCGTTGCTGGTATCGACAAAGTACACCCGGTCTGACATGAGACTAGGCAACACCAAAGTGTCACGTTTGTGCGTCGGTGAGCCATGACAGCTGCTGCAGACGTTCCAACCGGAGTGATGTAACTCGTCGCCGGCCACTGACATCCTCAATTTGTGTATTATCTGGAAACAGAACGCGCATTGTCGTCAGATACGCTCTTAATCTCGCTTTCCTCTAACGTTCTTCAACGTGATTAATCGAATTCTTTATTTCGGGAATTTAATTTTATTTTAGCGGATAATCTTCATCAGACAGAGTTGCAAACAGTGTTCGAGAAATTGTCGTGGAAAAAATTCATCCCGGAAGATTGGGAGAAAAATTCCATTACGAAAGTTCCATTAGTCAATCTTCAAGGTGAGCAAACTGTATAAATAGACAGCTTCAAAAATGCTTTATTAGGCGACGCTAATTTCAATCGGGATGCTTTTGTTTTTTACTAATATTACACACCGGTCTTCGACACGTTCGCTACCGCGCGCGGTTCACTTGATCTTCACAAACCATGTCACGCCTGTTATTGTGCAATTATGCAAAACAGACTTAGTTTATTCAGACGTAGAAGGACGAATGACTGCTGTCACGCAAACGTGACGGTGGAAGTGAGCGCGTGAAGAAAACACGTCGGGCTTCAATGAGTGAAATTTTCAAGTCCATGAAGGATTCATGGACGCCGCTTCAGCGTACCTGGCAGAACGTGGGACTTTCAGGATCCACGTCCACGGTGCTAAGGACGTCCGCCTTCTCGGGATCCGTGTGTATGCAGACGACGTACAGGAGTTTCTCGCGCGGCCCCTCGACCATCGCCGCTTTCGGACTTTTGTAGCCCGGTCCGCAGGAGGAAGAACACGCTGTCGACAGGATGATACGATCCATTATGTTGATGACCCGGTCCGGACCAGATGCCGCGATTAAATGCAAAAGAGAGCCAGTACGGGCTTACACTAGAGATGTGCGAACTATTCGAATTCGAATCTGAATTCCTATGATTCGAATCCGAAAAATTCAAAAATTTCGAATCGTAAAGATTCAAATACGAATCAAATACATTAGCGTTTGCGCGCATCAGCTATAAAACCATCTGAGCCATCTGGGCCATCTGGGCCATCTGGGCCATCTGAGCCTGTATGTTTGAACTTTTAATTTGTAATTAGCTTAACTTATAATCAATAACTTAATTATAAATTACTTTAAATATTTAAATATATATTTTACTTTAAGATGATATTACAATATCACTATTTCCTTTCATATTAAAATCTTCCATTATTATTTGCATGTTTAATAGTCATGTTAAATTTTTTAATGATTCGGTTCGATTCCAGTCGATTCGATTCGATTCGAATTCGAATTTAAAAAATGAGATTCGATTTGATTCGATTCGACATAAAAATTCTTGATTCGCACATCTCTAGCTTATACGGACTTTTGTCATGGACTTGTTTACACCAATCACTTGGTACGAGAGTATCAAATATAGTGGACTTCTTATTCAGCGCGCCATTCAAAAATAATTATATATATTTTATTTATTATATTATACATGATGCTAAATTTCAAACGTAACAGGTAAAAAATCTCGAAAACTATGAAAGATATTAAAAAAAGCTAAAACGCGTGTTCCATGATTTCGAAGGGGAAAGAGAATGGCATTATCAGTTTTTAATTTGGAGGGTATTTTCGAGGTCAGTTGAAGGTCGACTTGATTTTTTAAAATAGAAAGCCCAATGTTTTATTATATCTTCTTTTTCTACCAATTAATTTTAACAACTTTTGTCCGGAACATTTTTTTATTTGCCTAATATTTTTTGAAATATTTAAGGAAAACTTGATAACTTTTTCAATATTTAAATTACGATATCTCGCTATTTGTTGAAAGAAAAAATAGTATTAATCTTTTTTACTTTCAAGATATTTACTATCAAGAATATATTACTATAATAGTGCCCTAACTTTTGTTAATTTAATAATTTTGAAATGTCCAAAGGTCGATAAGTAGTCGCGCGACATAAATTAATAGAAATTCACAAACAAAAATTTGGTTCGTTCGGACAAAAGTGGGAGGCTGGCAAATATTAATTTTTTTTTTTTCTCAAATGTTATTAGAGTTATCGGTCTCGCGTTTACGACACAAATCAGCACAAACATAGCACAATATGGCACAATAAAGAAAAACTCAGAATTCGGAAAGTACGAGGCTAAGAAAAATTTAGTTTCTCTTAATTTTCTTGAGTACAGAGCTTTGAGTTATAGAGTTGCGAATTGCGGCACAATACGGCACAAATGTAGCACAATGCAGCACAATTCGAAAAAATACAAAATTCGAAAAGTGCGGGGCCAACTTCACACAGGTCGAACCGCTCGGTACAAGCCAGACCAGGACTAATTGCGCTAAATGTAACGTCGGTACCGACTCGCGTACGATCGCGATAATTGGGCACATCGACAATTGGTTCTCTCGCCACGTACCTTTCTGCTCTGCCATCGTGTCGACGTGACGCGGGTCGGCTGTTAACTGTGTCGGATCGGAGCCGCGGATCGACCGAGGACTCGATCGGCTCGACGGCAATCGAGGAGAGGGAAATGTGGAAGAGCGCGAGGCACCGGTCAGTCTCGCTAATTGATAATGCGTCTCATTTTTAGCCTCGCGCGTTCTGTTGAACATGCGAGTCGACTATCTTTTACCGTGAACAACATTACGTCAACAAAACCCTAATCAGCATCGCGAAAAATCGACCGCTGATTCTGTTGTGCCGTAATCGCGAGATAGCGTAGAAGAAAAATTGTTTTGCAGGACGCGCTTGTATCGCTCATGTCGTCGAGATCGCACCGGCACGCACGTATGTACACACGTTGAAATGGTGCCTAAGATGGAAAAACACTGAGCTGATAAGGTTAAAAGGCGCGATTTTGCAGGAGAACGTATTAAAATTAATAAATAAGCGCTCTTGTCTATATAGCGCTCAGGGCCGACGCACGCGCCTCACTCACGTGTACTTAGTCAGTGATTAATATTCATAAGTAATATCTTTTAAGACGCTCATACGGTTCTGTTGTGTTTAGTTTACGACATCTTAAAATTGTACTTAAGACAATCTTAAATAATAAGAATCAACTATGAACAATACCGGGGTTTGACCTTCTTCCATATTATATTGCTTAAATAATAAAAAGTTAATAAAATAAGTACTGCCTTTATTTCTTATGTAATAAATGAATAAAAAATTGTCTGATTGCACAATACCATCTAAAAATAAAAACAAATGTAAATAGTAATATGGTTTACGAGTTGTGAAATACCGGTATTGTTTATAGTTGATTCTTGTTATTTAAGATTGTCTTAAGTATAATCTTAAGATGTCGTAAATTAATCATAACAGAGTCGTATGAGCGTCTTAAAAGACATTACTTAT